AACCGGAGCACAGATCCAATTCTCTAGATCAAGAGCTCCTCTCCAGCATCAAGGAACCTCCCTTGAGGTGATTTTAGCACCATTAGATTTAAACCCATTAGTGACCCAATGGGAAACACAGTTGACAGCTATCTAGACTTAGGGTGCTACTAGACGACAGCCCCTCTAAGTCCTTGACTTAGACATGCTGAGAATTTTCTGTATTGTGTATATTCATAATACAGGAAGTATTCAACTTACAAACACATTGGGGACCTCTTGAACTGTGTATATTACACACAATACGTAAGATTCTCAATGCATTTGTTAGCTGAGGACTTACTGTACAAACTTTAGCAAAGTGCTGCTTTTCCAAGCTTTAGCAAAGTGCTGCTTTTCCAAGCTTTAGCAAAGTGCTGCTTTTCCAAGCTTTAGCAAAGTGCTGCTTTTCCAAGCTTTAGCAAAGTGCTGCTTTTCCAAGCTACACTCATAGACGAAGTCAAATTATTATAATCAATAGGAAGCACTAAACCTGGCAAGGTCACACAGTGCTGCAGGGTAGGAACTGATGCAGGATTTAAGGATAAATAAGGGTGATGCTGATAAGATAAGATTTCGTTCGGATTTTTAACCCCGGAGGGTTAGCCACCCAGGATAACCCAAGAAAGTCAGTGCGTCATCGAGGACTGTCTAACTTATTTCCATTGTGGTCCTTAATCTTGTCCCCCCAGGATGCGACCCACACCAGTCGACTAACACCCAGGTACCTATTTGCTGCTAGGTGAACAGGACAACAGGTGTAAGGAAACGTGTCAAAATGTTTCCACCCGCCGGGAATCGAACCCGGGCCCTCCGTGTGTGAAGCGGGAGCTTTACCCACCAGGCCAGAGAGAGTGCTAATGGAAGGATTATCAAAGTTTGTGTGTTAAATCAGATGCTGTCAAATTATTATTATAATCAAAAAGAAGCGCTAAGCCACAAGGGCTATACAGCGCTGCAGGGTAGGGAAGGAAGCAAGGGAATTGGATGGCAGAAGGGAGGAGGGATGATCAGCAGGTTACAGAAAACAGCGGGGCAGGGGATAGTACGGGGGTAGAGGGTAGCAAGAGATTGAAGTAGAAAGGGCTGAAGGTAGATGCTGTCAAAAAAAATCAAAAGAGGGAGTCCGTATCAAAGGTGAGTCCGTCAGCAAGGAGGGAAAATAAAGTAAGGGCGTTAGAATGATGACGACGTCGGAGGAAAATTCATCGTGCTTCTTGATAGACAGGAGAGTCCAATAGAATATGGGAAATTGAAACAGGAACTAGACAATACTCAAAGTGGAACAGGATGCCTCTCCATGAGATACCTGCGAGTTAGAAGAGTGTGGCTGATGCAAAGACTCGTAATCCCTTCGTCAAGGTCATTAATGTAAATTATGAACAAGAGAGGGCCTAAAACTGTATTGATGACAAGACCAGAAACCCAAACTTGGTTTGATAGAATGTAATTTGTTATGAGTCATACCATTCCAACGTTGTTGCTAACGGTTGTGATGGTGGGTCGAGATTACAGCAAAATAGTCGGAGAATGGATAATAATCAAAAGGAAGCACTAAACCTACTAGGGTCACCAAGAGGAAGTCAAAGCAATAGTAGAAACAATCCTGGCAACAAGTGAATTTAGCTTCATGGACGACATATTGGTTAATCACTCTTGCACTCTTAATTATAATAAAGGGGAAGCGCTAAACCCTGAGGATTATACAGCGCCTGGGGGGATGTGGATTATTATAATCAAAAAGAAGCGCTAAGCCACAAGAGCTATACAGCAGGGACCCCTCAAGGAAGGTTCCTTGATGTTGGTGAGGGGCTCTTGATTTAGGGAATTGGATCTGTGCTCCAGTTCCCCGAATTAAGCCTGAATGCCTTCCACATCCCCCCCCCAGGCGCTGTATAATCCTCCGGGTTTAGCGCTTCCCCCTTGATTATAATAATAATAATAATAATATACAGCAGGGAAAGGGGGGGGGGTGTAAGGCATTCAGGCTGCACTCTTAAAATCAAGGAGTCACTCTGTGGTCTTATTGCATTGTATTGAGAACTTTCAAAACAAGGGAAACAATGCCGATGGCAACACTCTTCAAATCGCTAGTGCTCCCTCACTTAGAATATTGCTCAGTGTTGACAGCCCCGTTCAGGGCAGGAGAAATATCGAAGCTGGAACAAATAGAGATAGTTTACGGCTCACATTGAGCCAGTAAAGCACCTAAACTACTGGGAACGCCTGCAAGTCTAGAACATGTACTCATTGGAGTGGAGGGGAGAGGGGTACATGATAATATATACCTGGAAGATACTCGAGGGCTTGATCCCAAATCTGCACACTGCCATAACATACTGGAGCGAGAGATATGGGAGGAAGTGTAAAATAAACCCAGTGAGGGGCAAGGGAGCAGTGGGGATAATAACGGAACACTATCAACATTCGGGGTCCCAGACCTTTCAACATCTTACCAGAAGATATTAGAAACACTGCTGGAACAAGTGTTGAAGCCTTCAAGAGGAAACTAGAAAAGTATCTTCGCCAGGTGCCAGATCAACCAGGCTGTGATGAATATGTGGGGCAGCAGGCCTCCAGCAGCAACAGCCTGGTTGACCAGGTGAGCCTGGCCCATGGCCGGGCTCAGAGAGTAGATATACTCTCGAAATTCTTCAAATTATTATTATAATCAAGAGGGAAGCGCTAAACCCAGAGAATTATATAGCGCCTGGGGGGGGGGGGGATGTGGAAGGCATTCAGGCTTAATTTGGGAAACTGGAGCACAGATCCAATTCCCTAAATCAAGAGCCCCTCACCATCAAGGAACCTTCCTTGAGGGGGAAATTCTTCAAAGGTAAATGTATATCAAAGGTAGCAATATTAGCCCCAGGCAACACATTTCGACCACACTGATTATAAAAAGCGCTAAACCCACTAGGGTCATTTAAGGCTACAGGGAAGGGGGTGTTGCTGGAGTTTATAGCCAGGGTGGAGAGAACAGAGGTATAGTTAGGAAGGGCTGTGAGGAGTGCTAAAGGAATTATCAGTTTGTGTATTATTGTTATTATCAAAAAGAAGCGCTAAGCCACAAGGGCTATACAGCAGTTTGTGTAATAAATCAAATGCTGTCATAGTCAAAGAGGGAATCTGTGTCAAATGTGGGGCCCATCAACAATGTGTCAAGAGGGATGTGTGTCAAATGTGGGGCCCATCAACAATGTGTCAAAGAGGGAATCTGTGTCAAATGTGGGGCCCCTCAACAATGTGTCAAAGAGGGAATCTGTGTCAAATGTGGGGCCCCTCAACAATGTGTCAAAGAGGGAATCTGTGTCAAATGTGGGGCCCCTCAACAATGTGTCAAAGAGGGAATCTATGTCAAATGTGGGGCCCATCAACAATGTGTCAAGAGGGATGTGTGTCAAATGTGGGGCCCCTCAACAATGTGTCAAGAGGGATGTGTGTCAAATGTGGGGCCCCTCAACAATGTGTCAAAAAGGGAATCTGTGTCAAATGTGGGGCCCATCAACAATGTGTCAAGAGGGATGTGTGTCAAATGTGGGGCCCCTCAACAATGTGTCAAAGAGGGAATCTGTGTCAAATGTGGGGCCCATCAACAATGTGTCAAGAGGGATATGTGTCAAATGTGGGGCCCCTCAACAATGTGTCAAGAGGGATGTGTGTCAAATGTGGGGCCCCTCAACAATGTGTCAAAGAGGGAATCTGTGTCAAATGTGGGGCCCCTCAACAATGTGTCAAGAGGGATGTGTGTCAAATGTGGGGCCCATCAACAATGTGTCAAGAGGGATGTGTGTCAAATGTGGGGCCCATCAACAATGTGTCAAGAGGGAATCTGTGTCAAATGTGGGGCCCCTCAACAATGTGTCAAGAGGGATCTGTCAAATGTGGGGCCCCTCAACAATGTGTCAAAGAGGGAATCTGTGTCAAAGGTGGGCCCCTCAACAATGTGTCAAAGAGGGAATCTGTGTCAAAGGTGGGGCCCCTCAACAATGTGTCAAAGGTGGGGCCCCTCAACAATGTGTCAGAGGGAGTCTGTGTCAGAGGTGGGGCTGTGTCAAATGTGGGGCCCTCAGCAAGGAAGATAGTTGTGCAAGAAAGGTATAAAATACCGAACACTAACTCGAAGGTTGAGGGACTGATTACCTCATCTTTTGTATATAGTTCTACTGTCTTCTAATTGTCCTAGAACCTGTATTGATAAAGCCACTGGATGGCAAAATGTCTACAATAAAGATATCCAGATGTTGCACATATGTCTTAACTTTCAAGAAAGATAGTGTTAGAGCGGTGACAAGGTCGAAGATAAATTCTGCGTGTTTACTGGTAGACAGGACAGTCCAACAAACTGGAACCTGACAATTCTCACATTATTATTATAATCAAAAAGAAGCGCTAAGCCACAAGGGCTATACAACGCTGCAGGGCAGGGAAGGAAGCGAGGATATTGGGCGGCAGAAGGGGGTAGGGATGATCAGTAATTTACAGAAAACAGCGGGGCAGGGGATAGTGCGGGGGTAGAGGGTAGCAAGAGATTGAGGTATTATATTATTATAATCAAAAAGAAGCGCTAAGCCACAAGGGCTATACAACGCTGCAGGGTAGGGAAGGAAGCGAGGGTATTGGGCAGCAGAAGGGGGGAGGGATGATCAGTAGGTTACAGAAAACAGCGGGGCAGGGGATAGTGCGGGGGTAGAAGGTAGCAAGAGATTGAGGTAGAAAGGGCTGAAGGTATCAAGTTACAATTCTCACAGAGTATAATAAGGTGCCTCTCCATGACATACCCGTGAGTAAGACATGCATGCCCGATGCCAAAACGGGGTGAGCGTAGTCTCCCAACCCCGACACTGATGATATGTAGAAGACCGGGGTCCTAAACTTGGCTTGATAGAATGGACTTTGTTAGTTATATTGGACAAACATTGTTGCCAATGGTTCTAAATGCAGTTTTAAAATGCCATTATGTAAGGATAATAAAATTACCGTGAAAATCGCCATACACACACGTGTGTATATCTAATACACACATACACTTGCGTACCTTAATGCCATCACTAAAATACAATATGTAAACAAAAATACACAATGATTTACATATCATTTACACTTCCGGTTCGTAAATAATACAAGCGTTGTATACTAGTAAAAATCATACAACATACGTAGTGTATCTGTAAAGAATTTGGGTTGATTTAGGGTGATTAACCGGTGTATTACTTTGTATATCTGTGTATACATTCTGCTATGATATACACCTCTCAGTGTGTACATCCTATGATGATAAATTAGACACATGTGCAACTCTTGGGTATCTTTATTGAGGAAACGTTTCGCCACACAGTGGCTCATCATCCAACCTAGGAGAAACTTGAGAACAAGAGAAACAATGTTTACATATCATTTACACTTAGGTTCGTAATATGGTTTATCAGTCAATCAAAACTAGTGTGATCTGTAACAGATCAGGTTGATTGGGTGATTACCGGTATTCTCGTATATTCTGTTAAATTCTCTGGTATGACTGATGAACCCTCGTGTGTAACGTTCCTATGAATGATACACCAGGTTCAGTGTGTTCTATATTATACACTTCGTGTACTCCTATATTCACTTCATTGTAACATCCTATGATATATACACCTCTCAGTGTGTACATCCTATGATATATACACCTCTCAGTGTGTACATCCTATGATATATACACCCTACCAGAAATACACGTGTATACATCCTGCCATGAAATATATACCTCTTAGTATATATTCTGTTATGATACACACCTCTCTGTGTATACATCGTTATGAGATATACACCTGTGTATATATTCTGCCATGATATAAACCTGTGTAAATTCTCTCATGTATCACCTATGTTATCTGCCATGATATACACCTCTCAGTGTATATTCTGCCATGAGATATACAACTCAGTATATATTATGATACACACCTCTCAGTGTATATATCCTGCCATGAGATATACACCTCTGTGTATCCATTCTATGATATACACCTCTCTGTGTATACAATCTGCTATGATATACACCTCTGTGTATACATTCTGCCATGATATACACCTCTCAGTGTATATTCTGCCATGAGATATACAACTCAGTATATATTATGATACACACCTCTCAGTGTATATATTCTGCCATGAGATATACACCTGTGTATACATTCTGCTATGATATACACCTCTCTCTGTATAGAATCTGCTATGATATATGCCTCTCTGTGTATACAATCTGCTATGATATATACCTCTGTGTATACATTCTGCCATGATATACACCTCTCAGTGTATATTCTGCCATGAGATATACAACTCAGTTATATGATACACACCTCTCAGTGTATATATATCCTGCCATGAGATATACACCTCTGTGTATCCATTCTGCTATGATATACACCTCTCTGTGTATACAATCTGCTATGATATACACCTCTCTGTGTATACATTCTGCCATGATATACACCTCTCAGTATATTGCATATATACACCTCGGTATACATTCTGCTAGATATACACCCTCTGTGTAACATTCTGCATGATATAACTTCAGTATATCACCACCATTCACACTGTAATTTGGAATTCTATACACACACACACACTCATACAAACATTCCTATATATCATACGTCTATATATAAAAATACATTCTGTTTTCTTGCTATTAAACATTTTTCAATTAAAATTAATAAATATTTCAACAATTTTGTCTATTTCTCTATATTATGATCTATCTAGGAATTACAGTCTATTTTGGTGGTGCGTGAGACGGATTTGCTGCGTAAATTGTGTAAAAATATTGTAAACTGGGTTTCAGATGCGTGTGGAACGCGTTTGAAACGCTTTGGATGCATACAACATGTGTTTGAAACATCTTGGATGCGTTTGAAATGCCTTGGATGTGTACAATTCATGTTTGAAATGCCTTGGTCACGTATATGCATTTGAAACACCCTGGACAGCGTACAACACAGGTCTGAAATGCCTTGATGCATACAACACGCGTTTGAAACACCTTGGATGCGTATAGAACAAGTCTGAAACACCTTGGACGTGTACAACACGCATTTTGAACATCCTGGACACGTACAACACGCATATGAAACACCTGGCACACGTACAACACATGTTCAAAACACAAAGGTGTTTTAAACATCGTTTTATTCAACGTCTTAAAATAAAAAACAAAAATATCACAAAAATGATTTATATCCATAAAATCTTTCGTAAAATAAAAAATAATATATAATATATACACACACATACAACAGTAGCACACGCGCACACACACACACACATATATATATCGTACCAAATAGGTCAATCTTGCCTATTAGGACTAACTCCATTAAAAATTAAAATTTTCCCATTTTGTTAATTATAAATTGATAGGCAATTTTTTCCCAATGATATAATGATGTTTATTTTTGGACCAAAATTAACATAGAAACCTCAGTTAACCTGCCTAAAACTAACAGAAGTTTTTTCCCTAAATTCTGCTACATAGGTTAATTTTGATACATTTAATTATTTTTTTTTATCATCACACTGGCCGATTCCCACCAAGGCAGGGTGGCCCGAAAAAGAAAAACTTTCACCATCATTCACTCCATCACTGTCTTGCCAGAAGGGAGCTTTACACTACAGTTTTTAAACTGCAACATTAACACCCCTCCCTATGATACATATTTTTTTCATAATACTCTGATCAATTTCCACTGATTTATGGAAAAAACAAATTTTAATTCAGCTTAGGGTACGACATATATATACATATATACACACACATCGTGCCAAATAGGTAAAACTTGTTATTTTGGCTTAAATAGCAACGTTCTTCTTGCCGAATAAGGCAAGCTTAAATTTGTGTATGCAATAATTTCGCAAAAATCATTCTGAACCTAACGAAAAAAAAATATATTTCATTTGTTTGTTTATTATTAAATTATTGTAAACTTTTTTATTTTTATTAACGCACTGGCCGTCTCCCACCAAGGAAGGGTGGCCCGAAAAAGAAAAACTTTCATCATCATTCACTCCATCACTGTTTTGCCAGAGGTGCATTTACACTACAGTTATAAAACTGCAACATTAACACCCCTCCTTCAGAGTGCAGGCACTGTACTTCCCATCTCCAGGACTCAAGTCCGACCTGACAGTTTCCCTGAATCCCTTCATAAATGTTACCTTGCTCACACTCCAACAGCACGTCAAATCCTAAAAACCATTTGTCTCTATTCACTCCTAACACGCTCACGCATGCTTGCTGGAAGTCCAAACCTAGTATTGTAAACTTATCTAAAATATATTTAGTTGGATTAGGTTAAATTAAATTGTGCTTGTTATTATAAGGTCAGGTAAGCTTTCTAAGGTTCTTTTGGTACAAAATTATTAATTTTTACATTAACATAAATGAAAAAATATATCTTTAAACTTTTTTTTTTAACAAGTCGGCCGTCTCCCACCGAGGCAGGGTGACCAGAAAAGAAAGAAAATACTTTCATCATCATTCAACACTTTCACCTCACTCACACATCATCACTGTTTTTGCAGAAGTGCTCAGAACACAACAGTTTAGAAGCATATACGTATAAAGATACACAACATATCCCTCCAAACTGCTAATATCCCGAAACCCCTCCTTGAGAGTGTAGGCATTGTACTTCCCATTTCCAGGACTCAAGTCTGGCTATATAAAAATAATCGGTTTTCCTGAATCCCTTCACTAAATATTACCCTGCTCACACTCCAACAGATCGTCAGGTCCCAAATACCATTCGTCTCCATTCACTCCTATCGAACACGCTCATGCACGCCTGCTGGAAGTCCAAGCCCCTCGCCCATAAAACCTCCCTCACCCCTTCCTTCCAACCTTTTCGAGGATGACCCCTAACCCGCCTTCCTTCCCCTACAGATTTAAATGCTCTCCATATCATTCTACTTTGATCTATTCTCTCTAAATGACCAAACCACCTCAACAACCCTTCTTCAGCCCTCTGACTAATACTTTTATTAACTCCACACTTTCTCCTAATTTCCACACTCCGAATCTTTAAACATATAAGAGAAAACTTTAGAAAGGACTTAATTTTAAACGAATTCTTGCTAATTGACCAGTTTTACCTATTTGGCACGATATATGTATGTATATATGTATATTACTTGACCAATTCCACATTACCAGGCTATGAGGGTCACCCTGTTATAGGTATTTTATTAAAAAAATGCCGTATTATGAATTTTGTTCATTGTCGTCACTCTAGTGAACATATATGCCACATTTTCTCTGCTAATGTGCCTGAAAACGTTCATGGCAGACTGAACACAGCGTAGGTCTTCAAAAAGCGCCCTGTTCAATTTTGGATGCCATTTTCATGGCATTTGCAAAGAAACTGCAATACATGGAGGTTTGCAAGAGGTGACTTATGTTGCAAATGATTGCAGAACACTTATTGGAATTCTTGAAAGGGAACAAAATCTTCACCAGAACCGTACATTGTCTTGAACATAAGTAATACGAAGGCTGTACAGGTTCCATACACAATATAAGCTGGTTCACTCCGAGTGTTCTATATTGTGGTGGTGGAGGCTGGGCTCGTCGAAGCGGGGGCCGAGGGCACGGCCGGAGATGGCGAGGCGCTCATGATTGCTGATGGAACAACGGTAGATGGCGCGGTTGGAGGGGCCAACGGAGAACTGCCGGCTAGGAGAGATGGCGCCGACTTAACGTCAACATATGGCGGAGGAGCCTCGGCGTTGGTGTCCCTCCGAGGTGGCGACAGCATCTCCTGGCGGTCGCGGTCACGTTCTCGACCTGGTCGGAATGCTTCCAAAAGGGCATCGACTTTATCAGGAGTCGGACCCCAGCGAGAGAATCCAGCATCATTCTGCAACCACACAGCGACTGTACCATGACCACTCTTAAGTATGACCTCTGACCTGCAATGTACAAGGTTGCTAAATAACCTTTGGCCTAGAATACACAAATTTTGAGATTACATTCAGGTATGGAGATGAACATACAGCAGGATTGAGGCACTGACCATCAGTACCTTGGTCATAATAGAAGGTAGTCAGTACCGCAGCCATGATAGAAGGTAGTCAGTACCGCAGCCATGATAGAAGGTAGTCAGTACCGCAGCCATGATAGAAGGTAGTCAGTACCGCAGCCATGATAGAAGGTAGTCAGTACCACAGTCATGATAGAAGGTAGTCAGTACCGCAGCCATGATAGAAGGAAGTCAGTACCACAGTCATGATAGAAGGTAGTCAGTACCACAGTCATGATAGAAGGTCCTCCATAAGGATATATATGTATCTTCCAAGGAAGATATATATGTATCAGGTATATCAGCAAAGATACTTGTACTTACTTAGACATGAAGTGCTGGAAGCCGTGTCTATACTCATGCTCGAAAGGCAACAGAACTATCTGTTTTCTGTTGAATCTGTAACAAATCACAACAGTGAGAGATAGCAACACTTTGTTTATACATGATAATAAAATTCCACAGCACATCAGGTACATTAAATTGTTTTATATTCCTCAAGTTACGCATATTTTTGTCGTAGAGTTTGCTCTGGAGGGCGAGTTTAATGGGCAGCGGCACTCACACTATGAGGCACGGTAGTGCCACAAATGTAAATATTTCTGCCCAAATACAGGTGCTTCTCGACTTAGAACGGGTCTTTTGTGATTAACCCATCATAAGTCAAAAATATCACGAGTTGAAAACATCCAAAGTCAAAAATGAATACAATATGCTAAATCAGTAAGTAAATAATTACTGTAACTAATTAAATACCAGTATTGAAAAGCCAATAACTGAATACAAGTTAGGGACTTGCTGCCTTCATGCTGGGTAATTATCTTAAGTTTCATCTCCAAAGCAATTGTTGCTGCACCATTGTAAAGTTGAAATATTGTAAGTCGAACCACTGTAAAGTCCAAATATTGTAAATGAACCATCGTAAAGTCTAAATATTGTAAGTCGCGCTACTGTCAAGCCGAAATATCGTATGTCGCACCATTATGAATACAGCCTCTCCTCACTTAGCAACACATTCGTTTATTGACGACTCAGACTTACGACAGGTTTTCTGACCAGTATGCATACCTAAATAAAGTATATTAGAGAGGATTTCCTCTATTCTGTTTATTACAATATACAGTACACTACTGTATAAACATTAAAAAATTTAATAAATATGTTATATATGATGCAATGGCGACATTAAAACAATATCAAAGATGGTTGATACAAACCCACTACTATTACAGTATGCTCCCTGCTTAGCGACGAATTCGTTTACCAACGTGGTCTTAGGAACAGAACTCTGTTGTTAAGTGAGGAGAGACTGTATTATACAGAATTCAGGCAGTCCCCACTGTATTTGTAAGTTGAGGACTTACTCTATTACAGTTTTGTGAGTCAAGATTTATTAGGTTAGAAAATACAACAAGTGGCAAGACCTGAATCACTAAGACGCACCTGGAGGCCTCCAAGTGAAGTAAGGCAGAGGGCGCTGGTTCACGCCACTCTGGAATGAAGACAATGAAAGACAGTGGTTCATGCGATTCGGATAAGAGCTTCTCAAAATGGCGCACAGTGGCCTCCATCAATTCCTCGCAGAACGGAGGGTTGGCCTCAAATGATCCACACACTGGCTTGAAGTCTAGGATTGGTCTGTGGAGGATGGAATGAATATCTTAATGTGTGTAAAATTGGCAGGTTGGTGAATGAGACTCAGTACTGTGATACTGACTACTTTCTACCATGACTGTGATACTGACTACCTTCTATCATGACTGTGGTACTGACTACCTTCTATCATGACTGTGGTACTGACTACCTTCTATCATCACTGTGGTACTGACTACCTTCTATCATCACTGTGGTACTGACTACCTTCTATCATGACTGTGGTACTGACTACCTTCTATCATGACTGTGGTACTGACTACCTTCTATCATGACTGTGGTACTGACTACCTTCTATCATGACTGTGGTACTGACTACCTTCTATCATGACTGTGGTACTGACTACCTTCTATCATGACTGTGGTACTGACTACCTTCTATCATGACTGTGATACTGACTACTTTCTACCATGACTGAGGCACTGACTACCTTCTATCATGACTGCGGTACTGACTACCTTCTATCATGACTGTGGTACTGACTACCTTCTATCATGACTGTGATACTGACTACCTTCTATCATGACTGTGATACTGACTACCTTCTATCATGACTGTGGTACTGACTACCTTCTATCATGACTGTGATACTGACTACCTTCTATCATAACTGTGATACTGACTACCTTCTATCATAACTGTGATACTGACTACCTTCTATCATGACTGTGATACTGACTACCTTCTATCATGACTGTGGTTACTGACTACCTTCTATCATGACTGTGATACTGACTACCTTCTATCATGACTGTGATACTGACTACCTTCTATCATGACTGTGATACTGACTACCTTCTATCATGACTGAGGCACTGACTACCTTCTATCATGACTGATACTGACTACTTTCTACCATGACTGAGGCACTGACTACCTTCTATCATGACTGTGGTACTGACTACCTTCTATCATGACTGTGGTACTGACTACCTTCTATCATGACTGTGATACTGACTACCTTCTATCATGACTGTGATACTGACTACCTTCTATCATGACTGTGGTACTGACTACCTTCTATCATGACTGTGATACTGACTACCTTCTATCATGACTGTGATACTGACTACCTTCTATCATGACTGTGGTACTGACTACCTTCTATCATGACTGTGATACTGACTACCTTCTATCATGACTGTGGTACTGACTACTTTCTACCATGACTGTGATACTGACTACTTTCTACCATGACTGAGGCACTGACTACCTTCTATCATGACTGTGATACTGACTACCTTCTATCATGACTGAGGCACTGACTACCTTCTATCATGACTGGGATACTGACTACCTTCTATCATGACTGTGATACTGACTACTTTCTACCATGACTGAGGCACTGACTACCTTCTATCATGACTGTGATACTGACTACTTTCTACCATGACTGAGGCACTGACTACCTTCTATCATGACTGTGATACTGACTACCTTCTATCATGACTGTGATACTGACTACCTTCTATCATGACTGTGATACTGACTACTTTCTACAATGACTGTGATACTGACTACTTTCTACAATGACTGAGGCACTGACTACCTTCTATCATGACTGTGATACTGACTACCTTCTATCATGACTGTGATACTGACTACCTTCTATCATGACTGTGATACTGACTACTTTCTACCATGACTGAGGCACTGACTACCTTCTATCATGACTGTGATACTGACTACCTTCTATCATGACTGTGATACTGACTACCTTCTATCATGACTGTGATACTGACTACTTTCTACCATGACTGAGGCACTGACTACCTTCTATCATGACTGTGATACTGACTACTTTCTACCATGACTGAGGCACTGACTACCTTCTATCATGACTGTGATACTGACTACTTTCTACCATGACTGAGGCACTGACTACCTTCTATCATGACTGAGGCACTGACTACCTTCTATCATGACTGTGATACTGACTACCTTCTCTCATGACTGTGGTACTGACTACCTTCTATCATGACTGTGGTACTGACTACCTTCTATCATGACTGTGGTGCTGACTACCTTCTATCATGACTGTGGTGCTGACTACCTTCTATCATGACTGTGGTACTGACTACCTTCTATCATGACTGTGGTACTGACTACCTTCTATCATGACTATGGTACCAACAACATTCTTATCAAGACTGAGGCACTGACACAGCCAAAGTCTCCAAAACAGTAGATCTCCTCTCTAAGATACAGTACTATGTACCACAAACAACGCTACTCACACTATACCACTCTCTAATCTACTCTTACCTCACCTAGGGTATTTGTGCCTAGGAATCGAATTATTGATGGCTTATGTGATGAATGGTTTGAAACCATTCATCACAACTGTCAGACACTGCAGCATCATGGGATCTTGTTACAAAGAATTCTTCAACACTTGTCCAACCTTTGGACGAAGACCTACTTCGACTAGTGGATGGTACCACTATGACCCCGCCTCCTCCTGCTTCACCTCACCTCACTACAGTATATAAGCCACGTCTACGACCCTATGCTGTACATTCTACAAGATTGATCGACTGAACACATCGACTCCAGGCTGAGGGACTGATTACCTCAAACTCCTCCTCTCCTTACGCATTTCTACTTTGTATTGGACTGATGAAGTCAGTGTGGCGAAACGTTTCCTGAATAAAGATTCCCATATGCTGCATAAGTGTCTCAATCTTCAACATATTGATGGTTTAACCATCAATAACCCAAACAAAAGATGACATGAGGTTTATTATGCATTTCTGTGCCAGACAACACACCCCTCCACTCTTCAGAAGCTTGAAGCTACTTAATATACAAAATATACATATGTATTACTGTGTCTACTATGTATTAAATCCAATATAAACCATTTTTCAAAATTGTGCCTTGATGGCTACAACACAACACAACACACAGGCACAACACAACACACACACACAACACACAGGCACAACACAACACACAGGCACAACACAACACACAGGCACAACACAACACACACACACAACACAACACACAGGCACAACACAACACACAGGCACAACACAACACACAGGCCAACACAACACACAGGCACAACACAACACACAGGCACAATACAACACACAGGCACAATACAACACACAGGCACAATACAACACACAGGCACAACACAACACACAGGCACAATACAACACACAGACACAACACAACACACAGACACAACACAACACACAACACAACACACAGGCACAACACAACACACAGGCACAATACAACACACAGGCACAATACAACACCACAGGCACAAACACAACACACAGGCACAATACAACACACAGGCACAACACATCACACAGGCACAACACAACACACAGGCACAACACAACACACAGGCACAATACAACACACGGGCACAACACATCACACAGGCACAACACAACACACAGGCACAACACAACACACAGGCACAACACACACACAGGCACAACACAACACACAGGCACAATACAACACACAGGCACAACACAACACACAGGCACAATACAACACACAGGCACAACACATCACACAGGCACAACACAACACACAGGCACAACACAACACACAGGAACTACACAACACACAGACACAATACAACCACACAGGCAAAACACAACACACAGGCACAACACAACACACAGGCACAACACAACACACAGGCACAATACAACACACAGGCACAATACAACACACAGGCACAACACAACACACAGGCACAACACACAGACACAACACAAACACACAGGCACAACACAACGCCCAACACAACACACAGGCACAATACAACACAGGCACAACACAACACACAGGCACAATACAACACACAGACACAACACAACACACAGGCACAACACAACACACAGGCACAACACACAGGCACAATACAACACACAGACAACAACACAACACACAGGCACAACACAACACACAGGAACAACACAACACACAGGCACAATACAACACACAGACACAGCACACAGGCACAACACAACACACAGGCACAACACAACACACAGGCACAATACAACACACAGACACAACACAACACACAGGCACAACACAACACACAGGCACAATACAACACATAGACACAACACAACACATAGGCACAACACAACACACAGGCACAACACAACACACAGACACAACACACAGGCACAACACAAACACACAGGCACAATACAACACACAGACACAACACACAGGCACAACACAACACACAGACACAACACACAGGCACAATACAACACACAGACATAACACAACACACAGGCACAACATAACACACAGGCACAACACACACACAGGCACAACACAACACACAGGCACAACACAACACACAGGCACAATACAACACACAGGCACAACACAACACAGGCAAAATACAAAACAGACACAACACAACACATAGGCACAACACAACACAGGCACAACACAACACACAGGCACAACACAACACAGGCACAACACAACATACAGGCACAACACAACACAGGCACAACACAACACACAGGCACAACTCAACACACAGGCACAACACAACACAGGCAAACACAACATACAGGCACAACACAACACAGGCACAACACAACACACAGGCACAATACAACACACAGGCACAACATAACACACAGGCAAAATACAACACACAGGCACAACACAACACACAGGCACAATACAACACAGGCACAACACAACACACAGGCACAATACAACACAGGCACAACATAACACACAGGCACAACACAACACACAACACAACCCACAGGCACAATACAACACACAGGCACAACACAACCCACAGGCACAATACAACACACAGGCACAACACAACACACAGGCACAACACAACACACAGGCACAACATAACACACAGACACAACACAACACACAGGCACAACACAACACACAGGCACAACATAACACACAGACACAACACAACACACACAGGCACAACACAACACACAGGCACAACACAACACACAGGCACAACATAACACACAGGCAAAATACAACACACAGGCACAACACAACCCACAGGCACAATACAACACAGGCACAACACAACACACAGGCACAATACAACACAGGCACAACATAACACACAGGCACAACACAACACACAACATAACACACAGGCACAACACAACCCACAGGCACAACATAACACACAGACACAACACAACACACAGACACAACACAACACACAGACACAACACAACACACAGGCACAACACACAGGCACAACACAACACACAGGCACAACATAACACACAGGCACAACATAACACACAGGCACAACATAACACACAGGCACAACATAACACACAGGCACAACATAACACACAGGCACAGCATAACACACAGGCACAACATAACACACAGGCACAACATAACACACAGGCCACAACATAACACACAGGCACAACATAACACACAGGCACAACATAACACACAGGCACAACACAACACAAAGACACAACACACAGGCACAACATAACACACAGGCACAATACAACACAGGCACAACACAACACACAGGCACATACAACACACAGGCAAAACATAACACACAGGCACAACACACAACACACAGGCACAACACAACACACAGGCACAACACAACACACAGGCACAACACAACACACAGGCACAACACAACACACAGGCACAACACAACACTCTGGCACAACATAACACACAGGCACAACACAACACACAGGCACAACACAACACACAGGCACAACATATCACACAGGCACAACATAACACACAGGCACAACATAACACACAGGCACACACACAAAACACAGGCACAACACAACACACAGGCACAACATAACACACAGGCACAACACAACACACAGGCACAATACAACACAGACACAATACAACACACAGGCACAATACAACACACAGGCACAATACAACACACAGGCACAACACAACACACAGGCACAACATAACACACAGGCACAACACAACACACAGACACAACACAACACACAGGCACAACATAACACACAGGCACAACATAACACACAGGCACAACATAGCACACAGGCACAATACAACACACAGGCACAACACAACACACAGGCACAACATAACACACAGGCACAACATAACACACAGGCACAACACAACACACAGGCACATACAACACACAGGCACAACTCAACACACAGGCACAATACAACACACAGGCACAATACAACACACAGGCACAACACAACACAACACACAGACACAATACAATACAACACACAGGCACAATACAACACACAGGCATAATACAACACACAGGCACAACACAACACACAGACACAACACAACACACAGGCACAATACAACACACAGGCACAACACAACACACAGGCACAACACAAACACACAGGCACAACATAACACACAGGCACAACACAACACACAGGCACAATACAAAACAGACACAACACAACACACAGGCACAATACAACACACAGGCACAACACAACACACAGGCACAACACAACACAGGCACAACACAACACACAGACACAACACAACACAGGCACAACACAACACACAGGCACAATACAACACACCGGCACAACACAAACACACAGGCACAATACAACACACAGGCACAACACACATTTACAACACAACACACATTTACAACACAACACACATTTACAACACAACACACATTTACAACACAACACATTTACAACACAACACACAGGCACAATACAACACACAGGCACAACACACATTTACAACACAACACACAGGCACAATACAACACACAGGCACAAACACACATTTACAACACAACACACAGGCACAACACACATTTACAACACAACACACAGGCACAACACACATTTACAACACAACACACAGGCACAACACACATTTACAACACAACACACAGGCACAACACACATTTACAACACAACACACAGGCACAACACACATTTACAACACAAAACACAGGCACAACACACATTTACAACACAAAACACAGGCACAACACACATTTACAACACAAAACACAGGCACAACACACATTTACAACACAACAATCTATCACTGTTCTTCCATTCTTCCCTCAACTTCCATAAAAATCGTTCACTCAACTTGTTCCATTTTAATTCTACAAAAGTCTACTCAACTTGCTGCTTCTTCACCATCTCTTACAGTAGTTTGATAACCTGAAGACATGACCTTGTGTGTAGTTGTTATGCTTACTTCTTTTTATATAAAGTGGCTGGCTGGATGGCGAAACGTCTTCGATAGAGATGCCCGGGTGTTGCGCATGTGTCTTAATTTCATCTTGTCGGTATTATATACCATTCTTGTACTACTACTATTATTACTACCACCACCTCTTCCTTCCTATATATAGCCATCCTGCTCCACTTTTGGTTAGTGTGACTTTGTAAATGGTCCAAGTCGGACCGAAACGTCGTCGTAAGCTTCTCTCTTTTATGTGCGGGTTATTTGTGTATTGTGTATATAAAGTACTGTTTTTGGTTAACAGTCTAATAATGAAAAAGTCAGTGCAAACCCAGAGTAGCACAGATGACATGGTCGAGGTCCTCACCCTCTGGAGCCAAAGTAGGAGTCGGTGTCGGGGAACGCTGAACAGTACTGCCTGAAGTAGCAGTTGAGCGGCGACGCGAAGCATTCAAAGGTCACGCTGAAATGTTTGTGTAAGCACTCCAGTACTGTCACCGGCAGCCCTCCTTGTGTTCCGTGACCCTGAAACACAACAAGGGTAGTAACAGCAAGGGCAGTGATAGCAAGGGTAGTAACAGCAAGGGCAGTGATAGCAAGGGTAGTAACAGCAAGGGCAGTGATAGCAAGGGTAGTAACAGCAAGGGCAGTGATAGCAAGGGTAGTAACAGCAAGGGCAGTGATAGCAAGGGTAGTAACAGCAAGGGCAGTGATAGCAAGGGTAGTAACAGCAAGGGCAGTGATAGCAAGGGTAGTAACAGCAAGGGCAGTGATAGCAAGGGTAGTAACAGCAAGGGCAGTGATAGCAAGGGTAGTAACAGCAAGGGTAGTAACAGCGAGGGTAGTAACAGCAAGGGTAGTAACAGCAAGGGTAGTAACAGCAAGGGTAGTAACAGCAAGGGTAGTAACAGCAAGGGTAGTAACAGCAAGGGCAGTAACAGCGAGGGTAGTAACAGCAAGGGTAGTAACAGCAAGGGTAGTAACAGCAAGGGTAGTAACAGCAAGGGTAGTAACAGCGAGGGTAGTAACAGCAAGGGTAGTAACAGCAAGGGTAGTAACAGCAAGGGCAGTAACAGCAGGGCAGTAACAGCAAGGGCAGTGATAGCAAGGGTAGTAACAGCAAGGGCAGTGATAGCAAGGGTAGTAACAGCAAGGGCAGTGATAGCAAGGGTAGTAACAGCAAGGGTAGTAACAGCGAGGGTAGTAACAGCGAGGGTAGTAACAGCAAGGGTAGTAACAGCAAGGGCAGTAAGAGCAAGGGTAGTAACAGCAAGGGTAGTAACAACAAGGGTAGTAACAGCAAGGGCAGTAATAGCAAGGGGAGTAACAGCAAGGGCAGTGATAGCAAGGGTAGTAACAGCAAGGGCAGTGATAGCAAGGGTAGTAACAGCAAGGGCAGTGATAGCAAGGGTAGTAACAGCAAGGGCAGTGATAGCAAGGGTAGTAACAGCAAGGGCAGTGATAGCAAGGGTAGTAACAGCAAGGGCAGTGATAGCAAGGGTAGTAACAGCAAGGGCAGTGATAGCAAGGGTAGTAACAGCAAGGGTAGTAACAGCAAGGGTAGTAACAACAAGGGTAGTAACAGCAAGGGCAGTAATAGCAAGGGGAGTAATAGCAAGGGGAGTAACAGCAAGGGTAGTAACAGCAAGGGTAGTAACAGCGAGGGTAGTAACAGCAAGGGTAGTAACAGCAAGGGTAGTAACAACAAGGGTAGTAACAGCAAGGGCAGTAACAGCAAGGGTAGTAACAACAAGGGTAGTAACAGCAAGGGCAGTAATAGCAAGGGGAGTAACAGCAAGGGGAGTAACAGCAAGGGGAGTAACAGCAAGGGTAGTAACAGCAAGGGCAGTAACAGCAAGGGCAGTAACAGCAAGGGTAGTAACAGCAAGGGTAGTAACAGCAAGGGCAGTAACAGCAGGGCAGTAACAGCAAGGGTAGTAACACCAAGGGCAGTAACAGCAAGGGTAGTAACATCAAGGGTAGTAACATCAAGGGTAGTAACATCAAGGGTAGTAACAGCAAGGGTAGTAACAGCAGCAACTGGCACTAGGTCAACACTACAGGAGGCCCTTGACTTAATATGAGGTTATGTTCTAACGAACCCATCGCACGTTGAAAAAGTTTTAAGTTGAACCATAGCAAAGTTCAAATATCCTAAGATGAACCATTGTAAAGTTGCTATATTGTAAGCTGAACCATCATAAGGTTGCAATATTGTAAGTTGAACCATCGTAAAGTTGCAATATTGTAAGTTGAACCATCGTAAAGTTGTAACATCATAAGTCGAACGATCGTAAAGTTGAGGACCACCTGTATATTATTACCGCTATTATTCTTGTAATTTTTAAGGTTGTAGTCGACTCCCACCGAGGCAGATGACCAGAAAATGCAGAAACCAAAGTTTTTTTCGTTTTACATTTAGAAATTTACACAGAAGGCATTACTAGCACAATGTTGCTAGTAATTTATGCTATTATTATTACTATTATTATTATTATTAGTATTACTATTATTGTTATTATTATTATATATTTATTACTAGTACAGTGGTACCTCGATTTACGAGTGCCCCAACTTACGAGTTTTCCGAGTTAGGAGCCATCGCTCGGTCGATTTTTTGCTTTGCGTTACAAGCCAAAATCCGAGTTATGAGTGAGCTTCAGATACACCGCCACTAACTGACAAAGTATCTGAAGTCAAATCCAACTCTGTACCCAGGTACATACTTCCTCCCATCCTACATGGTCATCCAAAATCATGTGGGAAGGATAATGCTCCCACACTAATCCCAGATTGAAGTGAGGTACCTCATCCCTCGTTTAGTTCTCGTATAAATCTAGGGAAGAGGTAATCTCCATTTTAGCACTCAGAGTTTTTCCAGAAATATTAATTAAGGTGGGTGAAGTACTGATAGTGGCGGATGGAGTACTGATAGTGGTGGGTGGAGTACTGATAGTGGTGGGTGGAGTACTGATAGTGGTGGGTGGAGTAGTGATGGTGGTGGGTGGAGTAGTGATGGTAGTGGGTGGAGTAGTGATGGTGGTGGGTGGAGTAGTGATGGTAGTGGGTGGAGTAGTGATGGTGGTGGGTGGAGTATTGATGGTGGTGGGTGGAGTACTGATAGTGGTGGGTGGAGTACTGATAGTGGTGGGTGGAGTAGTGATGGTGGTGGGTGGAGTAGTGATGGTGGTGGGTGGAGTAGTGATGGTGGTGGGTGGAGTAGTGATGGTGGTGGGTGGAGTAGTGATGGTGGTGGGTGGAGTAGTGATGGTGGTGGGTGGAGTACTGATAGTGGTGGGTGGAGTAGTGATGGTGGTGGGTGGAGTAGTGATGGTGGTGGGTGGAGTATTGATGGTGGTGGGTGGAGTATTGATGGCAGTGGGCGGAGTAGTGATGGCAGGGGGTGGAGTAGTGATGGCAGTGGGTGGAGTAGTGATGGCAGTGGGTGGAGTAGTGATGGCAGTGGGTGGAGTAGTGATGGTGGTGGGTGGAGTAGTGATGGCAGTGGGTGGAGTAGTGATGGCGGTGGGTGGAGTAGTGATGGCGGTGGGTGGAGTAGTGATGGCAGTGGGTGGAGTAGTGATGGCAGTGGGTGGAGTAGTGATGGCAGTGGGTGGAGTAGTGATGGTGGTGGGTGGAGTAGTGATGGTGGTGGGTGGAGTATACAATATTTCTTATTCATAAATACATATTTTGTAGGTAGTAGGTTGGTAAACATCAACCGCCCAGGGAGGTACTACCGTCCTGCCAAGTGAGTGTAAAACGAAAGCCTGTAATTGTTTTACATGATGGTAGGATTGCTGGTGTCTTTTATCTGTCTCATAAATACGCAGGATTACAGGTATGTCTTGCTACTTCTACTTACACTTAGGTCACACTACACATACATGTACAAGCATATATATACACACTCCTCTGGGTTTTCTATTTTCTTCCCAATTCTTGTTCTTGTTTATTTCCTCTTATCTCCATGGGGAAGTGAAACAGAATTCTTCCTCCGTAAGCCATGTGTAAGAGGCGACTAAAATGCCGGGAGCAAGGGGCTAGTAACCCCTTCTCCTGTATATATTACTAAATTTAAAAGGAGAAACTTTAGTTTTTTCTTTTGGGCCACCCCGCCTCGGTGGGATACGGCTGGTGCTTTGAAAGAAGAAAAAAACACATATTTATTTAAAAATCCGTAACAAAATAAAAATGAGGTGGTTTTTGGGCGCTGGAACGGATTAATGGCATTTCAATTAATTTCAATGGGGAAAACTGATTTGATATACGTATGTGCAAATTGAGTTACGAGCTCAGTCACTGAACGAATTAACCCTTAAACTGTCCAAACGTAGATATATGTTGACGTGTGGCAGGCTCCGAACGTAGATCTACGTTTTTTTTTTTTACATGCTTTCAAATGGGGAAAATCAAGGTCAGAGCGCTACGCACGTGAACATAGATCTACGTTTGGACAGTTTAAGGGTTAAACTTGTAAGTCGAGGTACCACTGTATTACTATTATTATATTACTATTATTATTATTATTAAGACAAACCAGGACTCATCCACTGTCTGAATGAACAAATGAACAAAGTTGTCCCACTGAACAAGCACTCAGACAAACCTTATTAAGTCCTGTCGTTCCATCCAGGATAATTTTCATGTCACAACTCATGGGTCAGTTGTTCAGCATCAATTGTTCCAATCACGGTATTGTGGGTTAGTTGTGAATTCTACCATACTGTGGGTTTGTGAATTGTTCCAGTAATACTGTGGGTTTGTGAATTGTTCCAGTTATACTGTGGGTTAGATGTGAATTGTTCCAGCCACAATATTGTGGGCTTGTTGTCACTGCAGCAGAAAATTGAAGGGCATTCCGCTGACCTACCTCATTAGGGTTGGTGCCCAGTAGAGTCTGATAGCGCTTCAGTAAACACCAAACTCTGGGTAGAAAGAGTTCAAACTTGCGGTCGTCGAAGCAGTTATATCGATAGAGTTGCTCCTGCAAGAGAATTGATTGGTTAATCATCAATTGTAGTAGTCATAACACTGTTTCTGCAAGGGAATTGATTGGTCAATCCTCATTATAATTGTTCCTGCAACCTTCATTGCAGTTTTTCCTGCAAGAGAACTGATTGGTCCATCTTCACTGCAGTTGTTCCTGCAAATGAATTGACTGGTCAATCCTCGTAGCAGATGTTTCTGCAAGGGGATTGATTAGTCAATCCTCATAGCAGTTACAGTGATATAGCTGGTGCTGGAATAGAGTCAACTTGCTCAATTACCGCCATTTATCCTCCAACTAGACAGAATAGGCTTGATCCTCCTTAAGTAACCTGAGAAAATAACTATAAACAATAAGTAACACAAAGGTAGATGTGTTGCACATCTAATGCAATACCTTGTAGATGTTGCATAGCTCTGATGCAACACAAGCAAGGAACTTAGTAGTTTGTGATGGTACAGTGTTGATTTTCTAGTATCTTAAACAAGGATCTTAAGATAGTAGTGTTGATTCTCTTCCATCTTAAACAAGTAACTCACCAGTTTATAGAAGTACGGTGTGTTGATTCTGAGAGATTCTCCGTTATATCGTAAACACGTTGTGTCCTTGTCTTGCATAAAATCAATGGGTGGCGGTCGGGGGCTAGGAGTGGTGAACTGCACAGGATAACACCACACTTTTCTCAACCCGCTGACAGCCGGAACGCCAACCTCTGTCAACCATGATAATATTAATGCATATTTGTGATGTATTTTTCTGTCTTATACACACGAGGCCTGGTCTCAGATCGAGCCGTGGGGGCGTTGATCCCCGAAACCCTCTCCAGGTATACTCCAAGTATGCAAGGTTTCAGGTACGTCTTGCTACTTCTCCTTACACTTAGGTCACACTACACATGCATGTACAAGCATATATATACACATCCCTCTAGGGTTTCTTCTATTTTCTTACTAGTTCTTGTTTATTTCCCCTTATCTTCATGGGAAAGAAGAACAGAATTCTTCCTTCGTAAGCCATGCGTGTCATAAGAGACAACTAAAATGCCTGGAACAAGGGGCTAGTAACCCCTTCTCCTGTATGCATTATTAAGTTAAAAAGAGAAACTATTGTATATCTTTTCAGGTCACCCCGCCTCAGTGGGATATGGCATATCCCATGCTTATTATGTATTAACCTTTTCGAGGTCTGTGCCGTAGCACTATGGTTTTGAGCTGAGGGTCTGTGCCGTAGTACTATGGTTTTGAGCTGAGGGTCTGTGCCGTAGTACTATGGTTTTGAGCTGAGGATGTGTGCCGTAGTACTACAGTTTTGAGCTTAGGGTCTGTGCCATAGTACTACTGTTTTGAGCTGAGGGTCTGTGCCATAGTACTACAGTTTTGAGCTTAAGGTCTGTGCCATAGTACTACAGTTTTGAGCTTAGGGTCTGTGCCATACTACTACTGTTTTGAGCTTAGGGTCTGTGCTGTAATACTACAGTTCTGAGCTCAGCTCACTCAGATAAGCTGTGAGCAGTAAATTTTGACCTAGAGATGAGAGAATGGGTCTGTGTTATAAGTGTGCACCATATAAAAAAAATCCTGCAGCACACAGTGCACAATGAAGAAAAAACTGTGATTGTGCGTTTGCTTTAAAACGGTGAATTTGTGGTGCATTTTTATATTGTTTTTTATGATTGTATTCTCAGTTTCTTGGTCTCATTTGATAGAGTGAAAGATATATTACTGAAATAGAGGTAATTTTGACTGGTTTCAGGACTGAAAATAGCTTGAAAGTTAGCTCAAAGTGGTGGAAATTTATGATTTTTGTCAATATTCTAGAGGACACTAATTATGTCACCTGTCCAATACGCATCCAACCAATCAATCTAATATTTATTCATGAACATGCTGACATTACTTATACAATTATTACAGTAATGCAGTAGTCTACATAACAGTAAATCTATTTTTGTGTGAATAAAAATATAAGAGGGACCTAGAAAGGCCTGGAGAGACCTAGGGAGGCCTGGAGAGACCTGGGGAGCCATGAAGAACCTGGGGAGACCTGGGGGGCCTGGAGAAACCTGTAGAGGCCTGGGGAGACCTGGGGAGGCATGAAGAACCTGGGGAGACCTGGGGGCCTGGAGAAACCCGTAGAGGCCTAGGGAGGCCTGGAGAGACCTGGGGAGGCATGAAGAACCTGGGGAGGCCTGGGGGGCCTGGAGAAACCTGTAGAGGCCTGGGGAGACCTAGGGAGGCCTGGAGAGACCTGGGGAGGCATGAAGAACCTGGGGAGACCTGGGGGCCTGGAGAAACCTGTAGAGGCCTGGGGAGACCTGGGGAAACCTGAAGAGGCCTGGGGACATGACTAATGAACAGAAGATATGTTGTCTTAGTGCCAGCAGGACCCTATTTTTAAATCAGTAATTCTTTAGTTGTGCAAAATTGACAATTACTGAATTCTGATGACTTAATTGGATAGTTAAAAATAGTTGATTGGGCAGTTTCTTGCACTCAATCAATAGAATGGAAGGAATACTAGTGAAATAGCTCAGAATTTGGTCAACTGGAACAATAGAACTAGCCTAAATTAGGCCTCAAAGTGAACAAAATCCCTGATGCATAAATTTCGCCCAGACTGCTAACTTTGTGCCAGCATAATTCCCTAAGTTTTCCATCAAATTTCATACTTATGGTGTCAGTACCTTCGGAAAAAGATTCTCTGTCATTTCATGTTTTTTTTTTTTTTTTTTTTGGGGGGGGGGGGGATTTTTGGAGCCCTGAGAAGGACTGATATCTAAAAATACACAAATTATACACAAACTGTATAAAATCACATAATCATACACAAAGCATAAAACATACACAAAACATATAAAAATACAAATCATACACAAAGCATAAAACACACTAAATCATACACAAAGCATAAAGAAACACACAAATCAAACACAAAGCATATAAACACACAAATCATACACAAAGCATATAAACACACAAATCATACACAAAGTGTATAAACACACACAAATCATACTCACCTCTAATATTATTCTCCTCCAGAATCTGCAAATGCTTCTCACGAATTTTTTTTGCATGCTCAACGGATAAATTGAATATTTTGGTACAAATTCCCTCGACGCTCTGCTTGGCAGCCTCGGTGAGGTGCGGCTGGCATTGACGCTGTTGATGATACATAAGGTCATCAATGACTGCTTACCAGTTATATATAACATCAATAATGCCTGGTTATCAATTATGACTGGGTCGCACTATGAACCTCAACAAACATCAGTTTCACAAAAGGGTCACACACAGAGGTCACAACACTGACCTTCAGGTGTGACAATCTGTCCATATAGTCATCATAGGTCACAATATGAACCTTGAAACACACACACAGGTCACAATACAACACTGACCTTAAGGTGTGCTAATCGGTCCATGTAGTCATCAAAGGTCGCACCCACGGTTCTTCGAAGCCACTGGAAGGTATCTTCCACGTTCCACTTCACAATTTTTCGACTTTCCTGGCTGGCGTTGCGACTTGAAAAAGGCAAAACAAGGTCAGTACGCTACTAGCGGATGTTGTCAGGTGTTCAATTTCAACTTGTACTGTTGTCTAGTGTTCAATTTTATCTACTGCTGTTGCTGCCAAGGTGCAACTTCACCCAACCCTGTTGTTAGGCTCCAACACCACCCACCACTGTTGTTAGGCTCCAACACCACCCACTACTGCTGTTAGGCTCCAACACCACCCACTACTGTTGTTAGGCTCCAGCACTACCCACCACTGCTTTTAGGCTCCAACACCACCCATCACTGTTGTTAGGCTCCAACACTACCCACCACTGCTGTTAGGCTCCAACACCACCCAACACTGTTGTTAGGCTCCAACACCACCCACTACTATTGTTAGGCTCCAACACCACCCACTACTGTTGTTAGGCTCCAACACCACCCACCACTGTTGCTACGCTCCAACACCACTCACTACTGTTGTTAGGCTCCAACACCACCCACTACTGTTGTTAGGCTCCAGCACTACCCACCACTGCTGTTAGGCTCCAACACCACCCACTACTGTTGTTAGGCTCCAACATTACCTTGTTTCAATCATTCTCTTGGCCGCTTCAGCATATTTGGACAGTTGCTTCCTGGCTTCCCCGGTGAACTTGGGTCGCTGTAGTTTAATTGGGATGTCGTTCATGATTTCCCGGTACATGGACTGGCTTACTTCGGGGAAACACTGGCTTGGTAACAGCGGATCCCATCCATGATCCACTACCTTCCGTTCCATCAACCAGCGGCTGAATGAGTCTCTTGGAGCATCAATTCCTGTTGTGAGATGTTGAATGTTGGTAAGTGAAGGTTATGGGGTATACCTGGGGGTATACCATGGGTTATACCACAAGAACCTTTCCTAAAGAGGAAGGGTTATACCTCTCCTTAAGGGAAGCACTAAAGAGTATGTATTAAACTTCCTCAGAACTGTAACATCCTCACTCATCCTTCAGGATGAGTGAGAATGTTACAGTTCTGGAGGTGAGAAGTACAGCGTCTGTACGCTGAAGGATGAGTGAAGATGTTACAGTTCTGGAGGTGGGAAGTACAGCGTCTGTACGCTGAAGGATGAGTGAGGATGTTGCAGTTCTGGAGGTGGGAAGTACAGCGTCTGTACGCTGAAGGATGAGTGAGGATGTTGCAGTTCTGGAGGTGGGAAGTACAGCGTCTGTACGCTGAAGGATGAGTGAGGATGTTGCAGTTCTGGAGGTGGGAAGTACAGCGTCTGTACGCTGAAGGATGAGTGAGGATGTTACAGTTCTGGAGGTGGGAAGTACAGCGTCTGTACGCTGAAGGATGAGTGAGGATGTTACAGTTCTGGAGGTGGGAAGTAAAAGCGTCTGTACGCTGAAGGATGAGTGAGGATGTTACAGTTCTGGAGGTGAGAAGTACAGCGTCTGTACGCTGAAGGATGAGTGAGGATGTTGCAGTTCTGGAGGTGAGAAGTACAGCGTCTGTACGCTGAAGGATGAGTGAGGATGTTGCAGTTCTGGAGGTGGGAAGTACAGCGTCTGTACTCTGAAGGATGAGTGAGGATGTTACAGTTCAGAGGGTCATCTTAACTGCAACATCACCACTCATTCTTAAGAAAGCAGCCAAACAAATGATGGCCAATGCATTTCCTTAGATATGGGGGTCACCCTGTTTTACCACAACCACCACAAAAACAAAAAAACAAGGAACTAAGTATAAACAACAAAAACAAACACAGTACCTTCCCTAGCCTGGCACATCTCCTGGTAACCCAGTCGCAACTTAGCAACCAGCTGACCCCTCAACACCTCGACGCTGGGGTGTGGCTGCGGCAATGTTATGGGAGGTCGCTCGAACATGATGACATTGGTGGCTAGCTCCAAGTCCCATGGTCCCCTGTAAGTACACACTACTTGTATGCTCAGCTAGGTTCATATTCCGCACCACACTGGTGCTGCCATCTATAGGCCTACCAATCTCAGCCTGCACCACGTTTACCCTATTTCATTCTGGCAGCCAGCTCACTCAGTCAACAAGGTCTACTCTATCATTCTCTCCCAGGCATGGACATTCTGGGCCTGGGCACTTAACCCGTAAATGGTCCAAGCAGATCTACATTCACATGTGTAGTGCTACAAAAGTAGATCTAAGTTTTTTTTACACATTTTCAAATGTAGAAAAACAAAAAGATTACTTTTTTTACATACTTTCAAATGCTGAAAAAACGTATATATACGTTTGGACCGTTTACGGGTTAAAACGCACTGCCTGTGTACCAAGAACCCAAAAAAAGTAACATAGCCTCCAAAGTGTGTCATTCATCCCCACTGTACCATACTCAAATAAATTGTAATATAATGTACTGGTGCTCCTCCTGTAACCATGGTTCAACTTACCATATTTCAGCTTCACAATGGATTGACTTATATTTCAATTTATGATGATTCAATAGCAATTAATGGTGAGTATATGTACAACGCAGCACATGTACTGTAACTGCTTCATCCTTGAGTTATTACACGAGACATGTACTGTAACTGCTTCAATAGCAATTAATGGTGAGTATATGTACAACGCAGCACATGTACTGTAACTGCTTCATCCTTGAGTATATGTACAATGCAGCACATGTACTGTAACTGCTTCATCCTTGAGTATATGTACAATGCAGCACATGTACTGTAACTGCTTCATCCTTGAGTAATCAAGTCAGTGTACTGCAAAACTTTTTTTGTGTATTGTACAGTAGTGTACAATTATTGATAGGATAAACTTGTATTCATTTAATGACTTTTCAGTATTGGTATTTAGTTAGTAATTATTTGTTTATTGCCTTATTCTGTGAAAGTAGTTATTTACTGACATTGATTTAGCATATCAGAATTTGAGTTACGATATTTACAACTTACGACATTTACAATTTACGACATCTTCAACTTACAATATCTTCAACTTACGATATCTTCAACATACGATATCTTCAACATACAATATCTTCAACTTACGATACCTTCAGCTTACGATATCTTCAGCTTACGATATCTTCAACTTACGATATCTTCAACTTACGATATCTTCAACTTACGATATCTTCAACTTACGATATCTTCAACTTACGATATCCTCAACTTACGATATCCTCAACTTACGATATCCTCAACTTACGATATCCTCAACTTACGACATCTTCAACTTACAATATCGTCAACTTACGATATCTTCAACTTACAATAACTTTGTCAGAACGAAACCCTTTAGAAAGCCTTAAAACTACTACTGAAAGAATATGACAGTAAGATTACACAGTGTTTAGTTATTGTATTCAACGAAGAACACTGAATAATTGGAATAATGCTTAACATTGAAGTACAAGAACGCTACCTACGCCAAGACAAATTTCTTGGATGCGGGTGCTCCGGAGGCCTCCTCTGATGCCCTCCGCTTGATCCCCGCTATGATTGGTGGAGCAGACGGGGATAGTGGCGTGCTACTAGTGGGAGTGGTGGCACTTCCGATTCCGCCTCCGCCAGGGCCGGGAGGAGTGACAGGTAGTGCAGTAGGAGGCACACTTACTCCGCCGCTCAATCCACTGACCAAACCACTGGTTAATCCGCTACTCAATCCACTGCTGTTCGCCGTGCTGCAATTAAAACCAAAGAAAATTAAATTGTACACACATGGTACCAACAGCCTGGCTGATCAGGCAATAACAGCATTAACCATAGAATTTACAACAGAATTAACCACAGCTTTCATATCACTAATAGTTAGGGGCCCAGATCTACTATGTAACTAATGAAGGTTAAGCTTCAGAGCCCCTAATCCCAGGAAGCCCCAAAAGTGACTTTAGTCCACATTGCTTCAAAATTTTGGGTCTACTGTATAAGAAGGAGCCTCATAACACTTTAAGCTTCAGGGCCCCTAATCCCAGAGGGCCCAGAAGCGACTTTAGTCCACACTGCTTAATTTTGGGTCTAGTGTACAAGGGGCCCCCATAACAGTTCAAGCTTCAGGGGCCCCAAAAAATCAGGTCCACCACTGTTGATAAATGCAAATTCAAAATATCGTGACCAGAACAATACACAAATAACCCGCACATAGGAGACTGAAACTTACGACAAAAATTAAGTCCAACTTAGACTATTAACTAGTCGCACTAACACAGGAAGGTAAGGGAGCCAGTGTATATAAAAGAGGAGGATAGGGATGGACAGAGATGGGAGACAGAAGGGAGTTAGGGGGTAAGCCAGTGGAAGGACTCTGTCAGATGATCAAAAGCTCTGGCTGTGGGTCATCTTATGACTAAGACAAGCATCAAGAAACACTTCTCCTGTTTTCTGACAAACCTTACCTAACCTAACCTCTAATACCTACTCTCTCTCACTCTCTCTGCTCCTTTATTTTGATGTTTATAAAGTTTTACGTTTTATTAAAGTTGCCCCTCACTGTACGATGGTTCAACTTACAATATTTCAACTTTACAATGGTTCAACTTACAATATTTCAACTTTACAATGGTTCAACTTACAATATTTCAACTTTACAATGGTTCAACTTACAATATTTCAACTTTACAATGGTTCAACTTGCAATATTTCAACTTTACAATGGTTCAACTTTACAATGGTTCAACTTTACAATGGTTCAACTTTACAATACAGTAGGGCCCCACTTATATGGCAGGTTAGGCTCCAGGCTACCGCTGTAATGCAGAAATCGCTGTAAAGTGGAACACCCTTTTTTTCCACTTATAAATGCATACAAATACTAGATAAGTTTGCACTAACATATATTAAGTTAGCAATAGAACTAGGCATCAAAAAACAATAAAAAAGTACAATACACACATAGTGCATTGATTACTTACCTTAAAATATTTATAGTATGCATGTATAGTACGGTATGTATGGTATGTATAGTATGGTATGTATGGTAGTCAGCCGGGCTACCATACCAGGCCATTCCACCCACACATAATATTCTATTATATTTAAGCATCCTAGAGCGATAAAATGCATATACAGTTTACTCATTATTTACCTTAAAATATTTGTAGTCTTAATGTAGGGTCAGGGGTGAGTAAACGAGATAAAACAAATAAATGAGAGAGAGAGAGAATGAGTACATGAGGGAGGACTGGCGCAGAGTTTTGTGAACAAACCAGGTGAACATAAGTTTTGTGAACAAACCAGGTGAATGTAAGGTTTGTAAACAAACCAGGTGAACGTAAGTTTTGTAAACAAACAAAGTGTACACGTCTGGTTTGTGTACAAGTTACATTATATACAAGTTGTCTCTACATTGATACGGTGGAATAAATAAAGAATAACACTCCCATTCTCATGTAACACCATTTTTAGAAGAAATGACACTCTGAGTGAAGGCAATGGAAATAAGTCACTCTGTCTGACTTTTTTTGGATTATCCCGGGTTCTCTACACATATGCTGTTATGTATGATAATCTATGTAACTGTATTTGTGTATACCTGAATAAACTTATATGCAAAAGGAATAATTTTCTACAGTTACCCCTAATAACACATTTTCTCTTATGTCAGATTAGAGAAAATGTTATTCTTGGCATCACTTGTACAAGTTATCTGGCTACCACATCTCATATTTATTTATTTATTTATTTATTTATTTGAACATGATACAGAGAAGTACAAGGAATACAATTTTTAAAGTGTAGCATGCCAAAGCCCCTTGTATGCAGAGCATTATGGGCAGCTTAAAATTAACTTAAGATTAACTAAGCAATGATATATTCAGTGGTACAAAAATTATTGTAAAACAGATAACAATTTAGCACAAATGAGTATTACAAAGACAGGTCATATGGTCATTACTGTGTTGCTGTGTAATCAGTAGAATGGAGTATTATGTTAGGTAATGAAGTTAAATAGTAACAACGTTTGTTTGGGTCACAGGTTGACATTCATGAGATACAATAATGAGATACATATATGAGATACAATTTCTGAGATACAATTATTCAGTATTTATTTAGTTGTGGGTGAGTAAGTGATTTTTGAGAAGAGACTTGAATTTATAAACAGACAGTGTTTCTTTTATATTCACAGGTAATGAATTCCAGATTTTAGGGCCTTTTATGTGCATTGAGTTTTTGCATAGCGTGAAATGGACACGAGGAACATCAAAGAGTGATCTGTGTCTTGTGTTATGGTCATGTGTTCTGTTGAGGTTGGTAAGGAGATGTTTGAGGGGAGGGTTTATGTCAGAGTTAAGTGTTCTATGTATGTAGTAGGTGCAGTAATAAGTATGGATGTTTTGTACTGTGAGTAGGTTTAGAGTTTTGAATATTGGTGGTGTGCGCTGTCTTTAGTGGGAATTTGTTATCATTCTGACTGCAGCCTTTTGTTGGGTAATTAATGGTCTATGATGGTTTATTGTTATTGAGCCCCATGCACAAATTCCATAGGTGAGATAGGGGTAAATAAGTGAGTGATATAGGGCCAGGAGGGCTGACTGTGGAACATAGTACCATATCTTCGATAGTATGCCTACGGTCTTGGAATTTTTTTGGGAAATTTGTTGTATATGTGTTTGAAATTTGAGTCTATTATCGAGGTGGATTCCTAAGAATTTTCCCTCTGTGAGCTTTGTGATAGGTGATCCGTTTATCATTATGTTTATTTATTCTACTGTGGGGTGTATTTATCATCTTTATATGTTATGTATCGTGTTTATTATTTTTTTATATTTATTATTTTTTTTATTATCACACCGGCCGATTCCCACCAAGGCAGGGTGGCCCGAAAAAGAAAAACTTTCACCATCATTCACTCCATCACTGTCTTGCCAGAAGGGTGCTTTACACTACAGTTTTTAAACTGCAACATTAACACCCCTCCTTCAGAGTGCAGGCACTGTACTTCCCATCTCCAGGACTCAAGTCCGGCCTGCCGGTTTCCCTGAATCCCTTCATAAATGTTACTTTGCTCACACTCCAACAGCACGTCAAGTATTAAAAACCATTTGTTCCATTCACTCCTATCAAACACGCTCACGCATGCCTGCTGGAAGTCCAAGCCCCTCGCACACAAAACCTCCTTTACCCCCTCCCTCCAACCTTCCTAGGCCGACCCCTACCCCGCCTTCCCTTTCCCAAACTACAGACTGATACACTCTTGAAGTCATTCTGTTTCGCTCCATTCTCTCTACATGTCCGAACCACCTCAAAAAACCCCTTCCTCAGCCCTCTGGACAACAGTTTTGGTAATCCCGCACCTCCTCCTAACTTCCAAACTACGAATTCTCTGCATTATATTCACACCACACATTGCCCTCAGACATGACATCTCCACTGCCTCCAGCCTTCTCCTCGCTGCAACATTCATCACCCACGCTTCACACCCATATAAGAGCGTTGGTAAAACTATACTCTCATACATTCCCCTCTTTGCCTCCAAGGACAAAGTTCTTTGTCTCCACAGACTCCTAAGTGCACCACTCACTCTTTTTCCCTCATCAATTCTATGATTCACCTCATCTTTCATAGACCCATCCGCTGACACGTCCACTCCCAAATATCTGAATACGTTCACCTCCTCCATACTCTCTCCCTCCAATCTGATATTCAATCTTTCATCACCTAATCTTTTTGTTATCCTCATAACCTTACTCTTTCCTGTATTCACCTTTAATTTTCTTCTTTTGCACACCCTACCAAATTCATCCACCAATCTCTGCAACTTCTCTTCAGAATCTCCCAAGAGCACAGTGTCATCGGCAAAGAGCAGCTGTGACAACTCCCACTTTGTGTGTGATTCTTTATCTTTTAACTCCACGCCTCTTGCCAAGACCCTCGCATTTACTTCTCTTACAACCCCATCTATAAAATATATTAAACAACCACTGGTGACATCACACATCCTTGTCTAAGGCCTACTTTTACTGGGAAAAAAATTTCCCTCTTTCCTACATACTCTAACTTGAGCCTCACTATCCTCGTAAAAACTCTTCACTGCTTTCAGTAACCTACCTCCTACACCATACACTTGCAACATCTGCCACATTGCCCCCCTATCCACCCTGTCATACGCCTTTTCCAAATCCATAAATGCCACAAAGACCTCTTTAGCCTTATCTAAATACTGTTCACTTATATGTTTCACTGTAAACACCTGGTCCACACACCCCCTACCTTTCCTAAAGCCTCCTTGTTCATCTGCTATCCTATTCTCCGTCTTACTCTTAATTCTTTCAATTATAACTCTACCATACACTTTACCAGGTACACTCAACAGACTTATCCCCCTATAATTTTTGCACTCTCTTTTATCCCCTTTGCCTTTATACAAAGGAACTATGCATGCTGTCTGCCAATCATGGGTGGATTAATGAAAATGTGTATATTAACATAATATACGACATTAATTGAGACTCGGTGATTATTATTATTACACCTACCATCCAACTTATGACCTGCTTGACTTACGACCACTCGACTTACAACTGTGTTTTTTTAAACCAAATTTCTGGGAAATAAACAAGTATTTGTGTTGTACACAGTGTTTATCCTAAACCTTACAGTATAAAATACAGTACTAACAACATAAAGAATAAAGTAAAACATGAAATACCAAAATAAAACAATAAAATAAAGTCATTACAAAAATGTTTTGTTGATATTCAGTAGTAAAGTTCGACTTACGACCGGTTTCTCGGAACCGAACTCGGTCATAAGTCGGATGGTAGGTGTATTATTATTATTATTATTTCTAATATGGCGTCATTTGTGCAAGTCGTCTGGCTACCACATCTCATATTTATATTCATTTATTCTATTGTGGGGTGTATTTATTTTCTTTATATGTTATGCACCGTGTTTATTATATATTTTTGAAAAAATATCAAATCAGAGTTTATTCTCTATAAGGATTACAATGCGGGGTTTACAGATTTTGGTTATTGTGTGGTTTATATATAATAAAATACTAATTACAGAGGGGATTAATGAAATGGATTAATGAAAATGTGTATATTAACGTATTATACGACATTTAAATGAGACTCGGTGATTATCATCATCATTAGTAATATGGCGTCTGGAGACATAAGACACTCTTACTGATTTTAATGTGTACCTGCACGCCAGCACAGTATGTAAGTTTATTTAGGTACAGGTATACATAAGTACAGTGGTCCCCTGCTTTTCGTAGTTCGCGGCAATCGTAAAATTCGCCAATCATAGGGGTATTTTCGTATAAACATGGACTCACTTTTCATAGGTTGACTCGCGAGTCGTAGTTCGTCCGGGACACGTACGCACAGCGTGGGCCAGGGCGGCAGCCAGTCTGGCATTGTTTACCAGTGAGCGAAGGTCCCCTCGCGTGCTCCAGCGAAATATTTCATAATATTCCATTTATTTTAGTGCTTGCAAGTACTAAATAAGCTACCATGGCTCCAAAGAAAGCTCCTAGTGCCAAGCCTGTGGTAAAGAAGGTGAGAAATACGATTGAATTTAAGAAAACCATCATTGAACAACATGAAAGTGGTACAAGTGTGGCCGAACTGTCCAGGATGTATAAGAAAACCCTACACAACCTTATGTTCCATAGTGGCCAAGAAAATGAAATAAAGGATGCTGTTGTTGCAAAGGAGTAACTATAGCTGACAAAAATGAGATCACCAGTACTGAAGAGGTTGAGAAGTTATTATTGGTGTGGATAAATGAGAAACAATTAGCAGGAGATACTCTTATGACTTCGATATTTGTGAAAAGGCTAGGCAGTTGCATGAAGATTTTGGTAAAGAAATTGCCTGCAAATAGTGGTGAAGTGAGTGGATTTAAGGCCAGCAAAGGCTGGTTTGAGAGATTTAAGAACCGTACTGGCATACACAGTGTGATAAGGCATGGTGAAGCTGCCAGTTCGGACCACAAGGCGGCTGAAAAATATGTGCATGAATTCCAGGAGTACATAAAGGCTGAAGGACTGAAACCTGAACAAGTGTTCAATTGTGACGAAACAGGCCTCTTTTGGAAGAAAATGCCAAAGAGGACCTTCATTACACAAGAGGACAAGGCAATGCCAGAACATAAGCCTATGAAAGACAGGCTGACACTAATGTTCTGTGCTAATGCTAGTGGGGATTTCAAAGTGAAGCCATTACTAGTGTACCATTCAGAAAATCCCAGAGTGTTCAGGAAAAACAATGCTATGAAGAGTAAATTGTGTGTGTTTTGGAAATCTAATAGTAAGGCATGGGTCACGAGGGAAATTTTCGTCGAGTGGTTCAATGAAGTGTTTGGCCCTAGTGTGAAGGAGTATCTCCTGGAAAAGAAATTGGATCTCAAGTGCCTGCTAGTAATGGACAATGCGCCTGCTCATCCTCCAAACTTGGATGACCTAATTTTTGAGGAGTTTGGGTTCATCACAGTAAAGTTCTTGCCCCCAAATACCACTCCTCTCCTCCAACCCATGGACCAGCAGGCTATTGCAAACTTTAAAAAACTCTACACAAAAGCAATGTTTCACAGGTGCTTGACTGTGACCACAGACACTCACTTGACCCTAAGGGAATTTTGGAGAGAACACTTCAGCATCCTCCACTGCATAACCCTTATAGGTATGGCTTGGGAGGGAGTGACTACCAGGACTTTGAACTCTGCCTGGAGAAAATTGTGGCCAGATTGTGTCGACAAGAGGGATTTTGAAGGATTTGGGACTGACCCTAATGAGCCTATGTCTGTTGTAAAATCAATTGTGGCACTGGGGAGTTCCATAGGGTTGGATGTGAGTTTGGAGGATGTGGAAGAATTGGTGGAAGACCACAATGAAGAGCTCACCACTGAGGAGCTGCAAGAGCTTCAGCAGGAAGAGCAACACATCGCAGCTCAGAATCTTGCTGCAGAGGAGGAAGAGAGATGGAAGAAGGTGCCTTCTTCAGAAATTAAAGAGATTTTTACTATGTGGGGTAAGATGGAAAGCTTTATGGAGAAACATCACCCTAACAAGGTTGTTGCAAGCCATGTTGGCAACATGTACAGTGACAAAGTCTTGGGCCATTTTTAGTGAAGTGTTAAAGAGACGCCAGAAACAGAGCTCTCTCCACAGTTATTTTGTGGACAGGACTCCAGTGACTCTCAAGGTGGTCCTAGTGGCATTAAGAAACAGAGAAGAGAAGCAACCCCAGAAAAGCAAATGGTACCTGAGGTGTTGATGGAAGGGGATTCCCCTTCCAAACTATAAACAATCCACTCTCTCTCCTCCTCCAGTCTCCCATACACTAAGAAGAATCTCCAATAAAGGTAAGTGTTATGCTGTTAATGTTTCATTCATCATTTCCCATTGTATTGTTTATGTACTACATGTATATTTCATGTAAAAAAATTTTTTTGTTTTAATACTTCTGGGTGTCAGGAACGGATTAATTGTATTTACATTATTTCTTATGGGGAAAATTGATTCGTAAATCGTAAATTTCGTTTATAGTAACGGCTCCAAGAACGGATTAATTACAAACAACGAGGGACCACTGTATAATTATCAGAGTATATATAGAATATGAAATAACTTTTAAAAACACTTGAAATTTTGGAGTTTCCAGACATAATGGAAAGACTTAGTGCTTACCGATCTCACAGAGAATGTAAACCTGGTGGGGCATGGTGACCGTATTAGAAAGTCAGGTGGGGGGAGCCATATAGTGAGTTTTGGTCAGAATTTTTAATGACCATATTAGCGGAACGTCGTAAAGCGGAACGCTGTAAAGCGGGACCCTACTGTATTTCAACTTTATGATGGTTCAGCTTACAATATTTCAACTTTACAATGGTTCAACTTACAATATTTCAACTTACGATGGGTTTGTTGGAATATGACCCCATAGTTAGTCAAGGACCCCCAGTACTTCCTCCAGTCTAAGCTAGATACAACTCACACAACAACCATTTAATGCCCTTTGAAAGGCCCTCAAAAACTAGACTTATACATTAGATGTACAAGAGAATAATGGGTTTTTCGGTAAAAAAGTCAAGTCAAAATATACATGGTGTTGAGATATATTATTCTTGTTTTTGTATTATTGTTATTATTGTTATTATTATTATTATTATTATTATTATTATTGCTATTATTATTATTATTATTATTATGGCTATTATTATGATTGTAATTATTGTGCAGTTTGTCACAGGATTGCAATCCAAAAAAAAAGTGCAGGGAGGGTGATAGAGGACTAAAGCTGGGGAGAGGGTGAAATCAAGTCTATGGGGTAGGGGAGGCATCCCAGGCTAGGCCTACCCAGGCCTACCTCTTGGGGCCCCGCAGAGCAGCGGCGGCCGGGAAAGTCTCAGCCGGCGGCGGCTTAGCGGTCAGAGTTATGCATTCAGATCTGCCAAAGAGGGACACGTGTTAAACGGAAATCAGTGAACTGACAGATTTACAGATTTACCTCAAATCTGGCAGTTTTAAGATAAAAATTTTTAGATTTAGCTCATTAAATAGCAGAATTCACAGATTTTAACTCATTAAATTGAGGACTTTTTGCTACCTCCCTTTTTTTGTAATAACCCATGCCTAGTTTTGAGTAGGCTTAGGCCTTAGGCCTAGTCTGTTGGAAATGCTCAGGTATGTTAGTGGCTGTCTGTGTGTCTGACAATATTATCTAACATGTAAATCACACATTGTACACTACGCAAAGAAATCAAAATTTTCATTCTGATGCTCTCTATTCCCATTAAGCCTACACAGACCATCTCAAAACTACACCTACAAGATTGTCAGATAGACCTGCATACCCTGTAATTGTAGAAATAAAGATAATTATTATTACTCTTTCAACAAACTGGCCATATCCCACCAAGGCAGGGTGACCCAAAAAGAAAAAAAGTTTCTCTTTTTAACTTAAGTAATTTATACAGGAGAAGAGGTTACTAGCCCCTCGCTCCCAGCATGTTAGTTGCCTCTTATGACGTGCATGGCTTACAGAGGAAGAATTCTGTTCCACTTCCTCATACAGATACGAGGAAATAAACAAGAACAAGAACTAGTAAGAAAATAGAAGAAAACCCAGAGGGGTGTGTATATATATGTTTGTACAATTATGTGTAGTGTGACCTAAGTGTAAGTAGAAGTAGCAAGACGTACCTGAAACCTTGCATGTTTATGAGACAGAAAAAAGACACCAGCAATCCTACCATCATGTAAAACAATTACAGGCTTCCATTTTACACTCACTCGGCAGGACGGTAGTACTTCCCTGGGTGGTTGATGTCTACCAACCTACTACCACTGGATGGTAGTACCTCCTTGGGTGGTTGCTGTCTACCAACCTACTACCACAGGATGGTAGTACCTCCCTGGGAGGTTGATGTCTACCGACCTACTACCACAGACCACAGAATGGTAGTACCTCCCTGGGTGGTTGATGTCTACCAACCTACCACCACAGGATGGCAGTACATCCCTGGGCAGTTGATGTCTATCAACCTACTACCACAGGATGGCAGTACATCCCTGGGTGGTTGATGTCTACCAACCTACTACCACAGGATGGCAGTGCATCCCTGGGTGGTTGATGTCTACAACCTACTACCACAGGATGGCAGTATATCCCTGGGTGGTTGATATCTACCAACCAACTACCACAGGATAGCAGTACATCCCTGGGTGGTTGTCTACCAACCTACTACCACAGGATGGTAGTACCTCCCTGGGTGGTTGTTGTCTACCAGCCTACTACCACAGGATGGTAGTACCTCCCTGGGTGGTTGTTGTCTACCAACCTACTATAACAGGATAGTAGTACCTCCCTGGGTGGTTGTTGTTTACCAACCTACTACCACAGGATGGTAGTACATCACTAGGTGGTTATTGTCAACCAACCTGTCTTTAAGAAGGCACTGGACAGGTACCTAAAGTCAGTACCTGACTAGCCAGGCTGTGGTTCGTACGTCACCTTGCGTGCGGCCAGCAGTACAGCCTGGTTGATCAGACCCTGATCCACCATCAGGCCTGGTCTCAGACCGAGCCGACGCGGCATTGACCCCTGAAACCCTCTCCAGGTAAACCTACTACCACAGGACAGTAGTACCTCCCTGGGTGGTTGTTGTCTACCAACCTACTACAACAGGATGCTAGTACCTCCCTGGGTGGTTGCCTTCTACCAACCTACTACCCTAGGGTGGTAATACCTCTCTGGGTGGTTGCTGTCTACCAACTTACTACCACAAGATGGTAGTACCTCCCTGGGTGGTTGTTGTCTACCAACTTACTACCACAAGATGGTAGTACCTCCCTGGGTGGTTGTTGTCTACCAACCTACTACCACAGAATGGTAGGATGGTAGCACCTCCCTGGGTGGTTGTTGTCTACCAACCTACTACCACAGGACGGTAGGATGGTAGTATCTCCCTGGGTGGTTGTTGACTACCAGCCTACTACACTCATTATTATTATTATTTTTATTATTGTGATGGACTAATTGCATTGTCTGTCTCTACTACTCCTAATGCCTCTGTTTGTGACTGAAGAACTCTACTGTGTGGGTGAAGTGTTCTGACTCTAGGTACCTGACCATTGTACATATGTCTCATCATCTTCTACACAAGAGGGGTTGGATTTGAGGGGGACTTGTATGAGAGGGGTTAGAATTAAGTGGGACTTGTATGCATTTGTAAATTGTTTGATTAGGACCATTTGGTACAAATGGCCCAAATCGGACAGAAGTGTCATCATAATCTTCTCTCTGCTACATGCGTGTTGTTTGTCTATCATTCCAGTTGTGGTATCATACATTCGTGTCCTCTAAGAGGGACATTTCGTCACAAAACGAAGAGATTTCATACCTCTGGCTGGCGCTGGCACTCGAAGTGCTACCATTGGTGGGATTCTGGATGCCCAGAGGGTCACTTATGGGGTCGTATTGCTGCTGTTGCTGCTGCGGTGGTAGTGGTGGGTGTTGCTGTTAGGTAAAATAAGTAAGTAAATAAGTAAACAGTAGGTCCCCCATATCTGCAGGTTTGGTATCCACGGGTTCAGTTATCCATGGTTTACTGTGGTTCAAAAACACCTCTTAATTTTGCATAATAATAATGGCCACAAAGCACATAAGTAGTGATGGTGACAGTTGTTCAAAGTCTAAGAGAAGTTGTCAAGTTCTTCCCATCAGTGAAAAGTGATAATTCTCCACTTACTGTGTATAGTTTATCAATTAAACTTTATAATAGGTATGTATAGCACTTATATATAGTGTTTGCTACTCTCTACAGTTTCAGTATCCACGGCAGGTCCTTGGAACATATCCCCCGAGGATACGGGCGTGTCCTACTGTATACAGTAGGACACCCCCATATCAGTGGGGGATACAATCCTAGGAGCTGCTGCAGATACCTCAACACACACATATATATATTATTTTATTATTAACACATCAGCCGATTCCCACTAAGGCAGGGTGGCCTGAAAAAGAAAAACTTTCACCATTCACTCCATCACTGTCTTGCCAAAGGGGCACTTTATACTACAGTTATAAAACTGCAACATTAACACCCCTCCTTCAGAGTGTAGACACTGTACTGCCCATCTCCAGGACTTAAGAGTGAGTGTGAGTGTACTCACTTAGTTGAGGTTGCGGGGGTCGAGTCCGAGCTCCTCTCTCTCTCTCTCTCTCTCTCTCTGTGTGTGTGTGTGTGTGTGTGTGTGTGTGTGGTGTGTGTGTGTGTGTGTGTGTGTGTGTGTGTGTGTGTGTGTGTGTGTGTGTGTGTGTGTTGTGTGTGTGTGTGTGTGTGTGTGTGTGTGTGTGTGTGTGTGTGGTGTGTGTGTGTGTGTTGTGTGTGTGTGTGTGTGTGTGTGTGTGTGTGTGTGGTGTGTGTGTGTGTGTGTGTGTGTGTGTGTGTGTGTGTGTGTGTGTGTGTGTGTGTGTGTGTGTGTGTGTGTGTGTGTGGTGTGTGTGTGTGTGTGTGTGTGTGTGTGTGTGTGTGTGTGTGTGTGTGTGTGTGTGTGTGTGTGTGTGTGTGTGTGTGTGTGTGTGTGTGTGTGTGTGTGTGTAAATAATTAGTAGGGTGGTAGACAGAACCGCCCAGGGAGGTACTACCGTCCTGCCAGGCGAGTGTAAAACGGAAACCTGTATTTGTTTTACATGATGGTAGGATTACTGGTCTTTTTTTCTGTCTCATAAACACGCTAGATAACAGGGATATCTTGCTACTCCTACTTACACTTTGGTCACACTTCACATGACACGCACATGCATATATATATACATACATCTAGGTTTTTCTCCTTTTTCTAAATAGCTCTTGTTCTTCTTTATTTCTTCTATTGTCCATGGGGAAGTGGAAAAGAATCTTTCCTCCGTAAGCCATGCGTGTCGTATGAGACGACTAAAATGCCAGGAACAATGGGCTAGTAACCCCTTCTCCTGTAGACATTTACTAAAAAAGAGAAGAAGAAAAACTTTATAAAACTGGGATGCTTAAATGTGCGTGGATGTAGTGCGGATGACAAGAAAAGGATGATTGCTGATGTTATGAATGAAAAGAAGTTGGATGTCCTGGCCCTAAGCGAAACAAAGCTGAAGGGTGTAGGAGAGTTTCAGTGGGGGGAAATAAATGGGATTAAATCTGGAGTATCTGAGAGAGTTAGAGCAAAGGAAGGGGTAGCAGTAATGTTAAATGATCAGTTATGGAAGGAGAAAAGAGAATATGAAAGTGTAAATTCAAGAATTATGTGGATTAAAGTAAAGGTTGGATGCGAGAAGTGGGTCATAATAAGCGTGTATGCACCTGGGAAGAGAGGAATGCAGAGGAGAGAGAGAGATTTTGGGAGATGTTAAGTGAATGTATAGGAGCCTTCGAACCAAGTGAGAGAGTAATTGTGGTAGGGGACCTGAATGCTAAAGTAGGAGAAACTTTTAGAGAGGGTGTGGTAGGTAAGTTTGGGGTGCCAGGTGTAAATGATAATGGGAGCCCTTTGATTGAACTTTGTATAGAAAGGGGTTTAGTTAAGGTAATACATATTTTAAAAAAAAAGAGGATAAATAAGTATACAAGATATGATGTGGGGCGAAATGACAGTAGTTTGTTGGATTATGTATTGGTAGATAAAAGACTGTTGAGTAGACTTCAGATGTACATGTTTATAGAGGGGCCACAGATATATCAGAGCACTTTCTAGTTGTAGCTACACTGAGAGTAAAAGGTAGATGGATACAAGGAGAATAGAAGCATCAGGGAAGAGAGAGGTGAAGGTTTATAAACTAAAAGAGGAGGCAGTTAGGGTAAGATATAAACAGCTATTGGAGGATAGATGGGCTAATGAGAGCATAGGCAATGGGGTCGAAGAGGTATGGGGTAGGTTTAAAAATGTAGTGTTAGAGTGTTCAGCAGAAGTTTGTGGTTACAGGAAAGTGTGTGCAGGAGGGAAGAGGAGGGATTGGTGGAATGATGATGTAAAGAGAGTAATAAGGGAGAAAAAGTTAGCATATGAGAAGTTTTTACAAAGTAGAAGTGATGCAAGGGGGAAGAGTATATGGAGAAAAAGAGAGAGGTTAAGAGAGTGGATGAAGCAATGTAAAAAGAGAGCAAAAGAGAGAGTGGGTGAGATGTTATCAACAAATTTTGTTGAAAATAAGAAAAAGTTTTGGAGTGAGATTAACAAGTTAAGAAAGCCTAGAGAAAAAAATGGATTTGTCAGTTAAAAATAGGAGAGGAGAGTTATAAAATGGAGAGTTAGAGGTAATGGGAAGATGGAGGGAATATTTTGAGGAATTGTTAAATGTTGATGAAGATAGGGAAGCTGTGATTTCGTGTATAGGGCAAGGAGGAATAACATCTTGTAGGAGTGAGGAAGAGCCAGTTGTGAGTGTGGGGAAGTTCGTGAGGCAGTAGGTAAAATGAAAGGGGTAAGGCAGCCCGGGGTTGATGGATAAAGATAGAAATGTTAAAAGCAGGTGGGGATATAGTTTTGGAGTGGTTGGTGCAATTATTTAATAAATGTATGGAAGAGGGTAAGGTACCTAGGGATTGGCAGAGAGCATGCATAGTTTCCTTTGTTATAAAGGCAAAGGGGATAAAAGAGAGTGCAAAAATTATAGGGGGATAAGTCTGTTGAGTATACCTGGTAAAGTGTATGGTAGAGTTATAATTGAAAGAATTAAGAGTAAGACGGAGAATAGGATAGCAGATGAACAAGGGGCTTTAGGAAAGGTAGGGGGTGTGTGGACCAGGTGTTTACAGTGAAACATATAAGTGAACAGTATTTAGATAAGGCTAAAGAGGTCTTTGTGGCATTTATGGATTTGGAAAAGGCGTATGACAGGGTGGATAGGGGGGCAATGTGGCAGATGTTGCAAGTGTATGGTGTAGGAGGTAGGTTACTGAAAGCAGTGAAGAGTTTTTATGAGGATAGTGAGGCTCAAGTTAGAGTATGTAGGAAAGAGGGAAATTTTTTCCCAGTAAAAGTAGGCCTTAGACAAGGATGTGTGATGTCACCGTGGTTGTTTAATATATTTATAGATGGGGTTTTGTAAGGGAAGTAAATGCGAGGGTCTTGGCAAGAGGCGTGGAGTTAAAAGATAAAGAATCACACACAAAGTGGGAGTTGTCACAGCTGCTCTTTGTTGATGACACTGTGCTCTTGGGAGATTCTGAAGAGAAGTTGCAGAGATTGGTGGATGAATTTGGTAGGGTGTGCAAAAGAAGAAAATTAAAGGTGAATACAGGAAAGAGTAAGGTTATGAGGATAACAAAAAGATTAGGTGATGAAAGATTGAATATCAGATTGGAGGGAGAGAGTATGGAGGAGGTGAACGTATTCAGATATTTGGGAGTGGACGTGTCAGCGGATGGGTCTATGAAAGATGAGGTGAATCATAGAATTGATGAGGGAAAAAGAGTGAGTGGTGCACTTAGGAGTCTGTGGAGACAAAGAACTTTGTCCTTGGAGGCAAAGAGGGGAATGTATGAGAGTATAGTTTTACCAACGCTCTTAATGGGTGTGAAGCATGGGTGATGAATGTTGCAGCGAGGAGATGGCTGGAGGCAGTGGAGATGTCATGTCTGAGGGCAATGTGTGGTGTGAATATAATGCAGAGAATTCGTAGTTTGGAAGTTAGGAGGAGGTGCAGGATTACCAAAACTGTTGTCCAGAGGGCTGAGGAAGGGTTGTTGAGGTGGTTCGGACATGTAGAGAGAATGGAGCGAAACAGAATGACTTCAAGAGTGTATCAGTCTGTAGTGGAAGGAAGGCGGGGTAGGGGTCGGCCTAGGAAAGGTTGGAGGGAGGGGGTAAAGGAGGTTTGTGTGCGAGGGGCTTGGACTTCCAGCAGGCATGCATGAGCGTGTTTGATAGGAGTGAATGGAGACAAATGGTTTTTAATACTTGACGTGCTGTTGGAGTGTGAGCAAAGTAACATTTATGAAGGGGTTCAGGGAAACCGGCAGGCCGGACTTGAGTCCTGGAGATGGGAAGTACAGTGCCTGCACTCTGAAGGAGGGGTGTTAATGTTGCAGTTTAAAAACTGTAGTGTAAAGCACCCTTCTGGCAAGACAGTGATGGAGTGAATGATGGTGAAAGTTTTTCTTTTTCGGGCCACCCTGCCTTGGTGGGAATCGGCCAGTGTGATAATAAAATAATAAATAAAAAAAAAACATGCAAGATTTCAGGTACATCTTGCTACTTCTTACACTTAGGTCACACTACAAATACACGAGTACGTTTATGTATACACACTCATCCGAGTTTTCTTTGATTTTATCTTAATAGTTCTTGCTCTTATTACTTTTCCTTTTATATCCATGGGGAACAGAATAAGAATCTTTCCTCCATAAGCCATGCATGTTGCAAAAGTCAACTAAAATGCCGGGAGCAATGGGCTAGTAACCCCTTTTTCCCGTATAGCCTAATAAATTGAAAAAGAAGGAAACTTTCAAAGTGAGATGTTTGAATGTGCATAGATGTTGTGCAAATGATAAGAAGTAGATGATTGTGGATGTTATGAATGAGAAGAAGTTGGATGTCCTGGCTCTAAGTGAAACAAAGCTGAAGGGGGTGGGAGAGTTTCAGTGGGGAGAAATAAATGGGATTAGGTCAGGGGTTTCTAATAGAGTTAGAGCTAAGGAAGGAGTAGCAATAATGTTGAAGAATAAGTTATGGCAGGAAAAGAAGGAATATAAATGTATAAATTCAAGGATTATGTGGAGTAAAATAAGGGTTGGATGTGAAAAGTGGGTTATAGTAAGTGTGTATGCACCTGGAGAAGACAGAAGTGTAGAGAGAGGGAGAGAGATTTTGGGAAATGTTGAGTGCGCAGGGAGTTTTGAACCAAATGTGAGAGTACTTGTGGTTGGGGATCTCAATGCTAAAGTGGGTAAAAATGTTGTGGAGGGAGTAGTAGGTAAATTTGGGGTGCCGGGGGTAAATGTAAATGGGGAGCCTTTAATTGAACCGTGTAGAAAGAGGTTTGGTAATAAGTAATACATATTTTATGAAGAAGAAGATAAATAAGTATACAAGATATGATATAGTATGTAATGAAAGTAGTTTGTTAGATTATATATTGGTGGATAAAAGGTTGATGGGTAGGCTCCAGGATGTACACGTTTATAGAGGGGCAACTGATATATCGGATCATTATTTAGTTGTAGCTACAGTTAGAGTAAGAGGTAGATGGGACAAGAGGAAAATGGCAACAACAAGTAAGAGAGAGGTGAAAGTGTATACACTAACGGAGGAGGAAGCTAGGGTGAGATACAAGTAACTATTGGCTGAAAGGTGGGCTGGTGCAGGTATGAGTAGTGTTGGGGGGAAAAGGTTGAAGAGGGTTGGAATAGTTTTAAAAATGCAGTATTAGAATGTGGGGCAGAAGTTTGGGGCTATAAGAGGGTTGAAAATTCACAGTCCAGTGCATTAACAACTTTACCAGCTGCCACTAACAAGATTCATCCAACTATATACATGAGGCCATAGTTCAGTGCAAATTTCAATTTGAAGATTAGGACACATGTGCAACAGTTGGGTATCTTTATTGATGAAATATTTCACCTACACAGAAGGTTTCTTCAGTCAAATAGTGGCAGCAGGTGAAGCAGTATAAGATGTTATCAGTCCATCAGCCTTGGAGAAAAAGTATTTGAGGTGGTCAGTCCCTCAGCCTGGAAAATGTTCAGCTGCACTCTTCTCCAGGTTGAGGGACTGACCTACTCAAATACTTTTTCTCCAAGGTTGATGGACTGATTACATCAGTCCATCAACCTTATATTTGATTAAAGAAGCACTTACTGCAATCCCATTACTACAATTTCCGAAGTTACAAAGCATTTATAGTATAGCCTCTCTTCACTTAGTGACGTACTCATTTACCGACACCTCGAACTTACGACAGGCTCTTTGACCAGTATTTATTCCTAAATAATGTATATTACAGATGATTTCCTCTATTCTATTTATTTCAATATACAGTACACTACTGTATAAACATTTAAAAATATACATGTACCAGAAATGTTATAAATGGTGCAAAGGTGACATTAAATCAATATCAAAGATGGGTGACACAAACCCACTACCGTTAACACGTAAACGGTCCAAGCAGATCTACATTCACATGTGTAGCGCTACAAAAGTAGATCTACGTTTTGTTTACATATTTTCAAATATAACAAAAAAAAAGAATATCAAAGTTTTTTTACACATTTTCAAATGTAAAAAAACAAAAAGATCTACATTTTTTACATACTTTCAAATGTTGAAAAAACGTATATATACGTTTGGACCGTTTACGGGTTAAAGTATGCTCCTCACTTAGCAACGAATTCGTTTAATGACGTGGTCTTAGGAACAGAACTCCGTCGTTAAGTGAGGAGAGGCTGTACTTGCATTACTATAATTTCATACATCATGGAGGAGCACTTACCCCAGGAGGCAGGGAAGTGTGGGCATTATGCCCCACAGGCATGTCCCAGAGACTCTCACCAGTGGCGCGATTCCAGAAATAAACGCGCTGCTCTCGTTTGCTCCAGAATTTGCGCCAGCCAGCCACCAGCATCTCCGGGGGCAGATCCGTCTCTTGTATGGGGGTACCTGTGCCCGGGACACCACTCACTGGGGTCTGGGGTGTTGGGGTTGTGGGGCCGCTGCTACTTATACTGCCCTGTCAGTTACACAGACAACTAAATAGTGTTACACAAAGTATTATACAACGTGTTATACAAAGTGTTATACACATACAGTGGACCCCCGGTTATCGGCCGCTTCTGTTATCAGCCAACTCGGTGATCAGCCGGTTTTTCGGTGCCCAGTTATCGGCCATTTGGAACGCGTCCGTCCGCCAGCTGGGGCCGCTTGCGCATCAGTTTGGCTGTGTCTTTCGGTGTGTGAAGAAGCTTCTGCTCATACATTCAATCATTTCGCTTGTTTTCCATCTTTTTTTTTTGTAGGATTTTTGCAGTGCAACTGCGAAATGAGTAACCATGGCTCCAAAGAAAGTTCGTAGTAAAGTTCCTGTGGTAAAGAAAATGAGAAACACCATGCAATTTAAGTGTGAAGTGTAGCAGGCATGCAGGAAGTGTAGCAGGCATGCAGGAAGTGTAGCAGGCATGCAGGAAGTGTAGCAGGCATGCAGGAAGTGTAGCAGGCATGCAGGAAGTGTAGCAGGCATGCAGGAAGTGTAGCAGGCATGCAGGAAGTGTAGCAGGCATGCAGGAAGTGTAGCAGGCATGCAGGAAGTGTAGCAGGCATGCAGGAAGTGTAGCAGGCATGCAGGAAGTGTAGCAGGAATGCAGGAAGTGTAGCAGGCGTGCAGGTAGTGTAGCAGGCATGCAGGAAGTGTAGCAGACATTCCAGAAGCCAACATTAGTCTTCAATAAAGGTATGTATTACTGATTTAATCATTAAAAAAAAATATTTTTTGGTGAATATTTTTTGTCTGAAATGGATTAATTGTAATTACATTAATTCTTATGGGAAATATTTCGGTTTTTGGCCATTTCGGTTTTAGGCCGAGCTTCTGGAATGGATTATGGCCGATAACCGAGGGTCCATTGTATAGTGTTACATAGTGTTATACAAATACAGCATTATACAACAGGAAATTCACTATACTACCCTGTCAGACAAATACAGTGCTATACAAAGGAAATACAGAATACAACCCTGTCAGACAAATACAGGATTATACAATAGGAAATACAGTAAACCACCTGCCAATTATACAGAGAACTGACTGTGTATAGAGGACCTTCATAAGAGAACTGATTGTATATAGAGGGGTTCATAAGAGAAGTGACTGTAGAGGGTTTATAAGAGAAGCAACTGTAGAGGGGTTTATAAGAGAAGTGACTGTAGAGGGGTTTATAAGAGAAGTGACTGGAGAGGGGTTTATAAGAGAAGCAACTGTAGAGGGGTTTATAAGAGAAGCAACTGTAGAGGGGTTTATAAGAGAAGCAACTGTAGAGGGGTTTATAAGAGAAGCAATTGTAGAGGGGTTTATAAGAGAAGCAACTGTAGAGGGGTTTATAAGAGAAGCAACTGTAGAGGGTTTATAAGAGAAGCAACTGTAGAGGGGTTTATAAGAGAAGCAACTGTAGAGGGGTTTATAAGAGAAAGCAACTGGAGAGGGGTTTATAAGAGAAGCAACTGTAGAGGGGTTTATAAGAGAAGCAACTGTAGAGGGGTTTATAAGAGAAGCAACTGTAGAGGGTTTATAAGAGAAGCAACTGGAGAGGGGTTTATAAGAGAAGCAACTGTAGAGGGGTTTATAAGAGAAGCAACTGTTTGAGGGGTTTATAAGAGAAGCAAACTGTAGAGGGTTTATAAGAGAAGCAACTGTAGAGGGTTTATAAGAGAAGTGACTGTAGAGGGTTTATAAGAGAAGCAACTGTAGAGGGGTTTATAAGAGAAGCAACTGTAGAGGGGTTTATAAGAGAAGCAACTGTAGAGGGTTTATAAGAGAAGCAACTGGAGAGGGGTTTTTAAGAGAAGTGACTGTAGAGGGGTTTATAAGAGAAGCAACTGTAGAGGGGTTTATAAGAGAAGTGACTGGAGAGGGGTTTATAAGAGAAGTGATGGTAGAGGGGTTCATAAGGGAAGTAACTGTATATAGAGATATTTAGTGAGGATCATCAAGCCAGTCACTGACCTGCTGGGGTATAGTGACCCTAATGCCCTGGTAAGAAGGTTGACTAGGGGTAGGCTGCGACTGGTACTGGAACGGAGAGAGAGAGGGCAGTGGAGATTGATGCTGTTGGGTGTCCGCTGGAGAGTAGCCCTGCTGGGGCACAGCAGGCAGTGTAGGGGGTACAGCAGGCGCAGCAGGTGCAGGCACCACACTGGTGTGGGCGGGGGCACCGGATGTAGTTGCCGCTATGAAACTTTCCCATGACGCCATGATTCCTGTGCACAAAATAACCGTCCTAACATCAAAAAAGGCCCAAAAAGTCTCTATATATATAAGGACAAGAAAGTCTTCAAACATATACATGCATGTTGTGCAAGAAAGGTATACAATACCAACAAGATGAAATTAAGACACATGTGCAACATCTGGGTATCTTTATTGTAGACGTTTTGCCCTCCAGTGGCTTTATCAATATAAATTCCAGGACATAACTTGAAGACAGTAGAACCTTGTCTTCTGTACATAGTTCTACTGGCTTCAAGTTATGTCCTGGAATTTATATTGATAAAGCCACTGGATGGCGAAACGTCTACAATAAAGATACCCAGATGTTGCACATACATACATACACACACAATTTTTATATATATATATATATATATATATATATATATATATATATATATATATATATATATATATATATATATATTATATATATATATATATATATATATATATATATATACAGTGGACCCCGGTTAACGATATTTTTTCTCTCCAGAAGTATGTTCAGGTGCCAGTACTGATCGAATTTGTTCCCATATGAAATATGTGAAGTAGATTAGTCCATTTTCAGACCCCCAAACATCACGTACAAACGCACTTACATAAATACACTTACATAATTGGTCGCATTCGGAGGTGATCGTTATGCGGGGGTCCACTGTATGTATGTATGTATGTATGTTGTATGTATGTATATATATATATTATATATATAATATATATATATATATATATATATATATATATTATATATATATATATATATATATATATATATATATATATATATATATATATATATATACACAAATAGGTAAAATTGGCCAATTAACAATAACTTATTTAAAATTAAGTCCTTTCTAAAATTATCTCTTACACATTTAGAGATACAATTTTCATTTATGTTAATTTAAAAATTAATTATTTTCCAAAAAACCCCCTTTGGAAATTTTTTTTTCCCCCAAATTTTATAAAAAGCACAATTTGTTCCCAAAAAATTTAAATTAAGTTTATTTTTAAAAAAATAATTTTAAAAATTTTAAAAATAAACAAACCATAATTTCCATTTTTTTTTGGGGGCCCCATTTTTAGAATGATTTTTGCAAAATTTTAAATTTTTAAAAAATTTAATTTCTTTTTTTAAAAAAATCTTTATTAAAAAATTTTTTAATTTTTATTTTTAAAAAAAAAAGGAAGAAGGAATTAAAAAAGGGAAAAAATTAACCCCAAAAAAAATTTTTGGGGGAGAAAAGGAGGAAAAAAAGAGAGAAGAAAGGGGGAAGAAAAAAAAAAAAGGGGGAAAATTTTAAAAAAAAAAAGGAAAGGAAAAATTTTAAAAAAAAAAAAAAACAAGGAAAAAGAGGTAGAATGAGGAAAAAGAAAAAAGGGGGTTTTTTAGGAAGAAGAGGAGGAAGAAAAGAAAAGAAAGAGAGAGAGAAAGAGGAAAAGAGAAGAGAGAAAGAGGAGAGAGAAAAGAGAAAAAAGGAGAGAGAGATGAAAGAGGAGGAGAAGAGAAGAAGAGGAGAGTGGAGAGAAAGAGGAGAGAGGGGAGGGGAAGAAAGAGGAGGAGAGAGAAAAGAGGAAGGAGAGAGAAAGAGGGGGAGAGAGAGAAAGGGAGAGAGGGGAGAAAGAGGAGAGGGAGAAATGAGGAGAGAAAAGAGAAAAAAAAAAGGAGGAGAGAGAAAGAGGAGAGAGAGGAAAGAGGAGAGAGAGAAAAGAGGAGAGAGAGGGGAAGAAAGGGGGAGGGGGAGAGAGAAAGAGGAGAGGAAAAAGGAGAGAAAGGGGAGAGAGGAGAAAGAGGGGGAGAGGGGAAAAGGGGAGAAAAGAGAGAAAGGGGAAGGAGAGAGTAAAAGGGAGAGAGAGGGGAAAGAGGGGGAGAGAAGGAAAGGGAGAGAGAGGGGAAAAAGGGGAGGAGAGAGAGGGAAAGGGAGAGGAGGGGAAAAGGAGGGAGATGAGAGAAAGGGGGGAAAAGGGGAGAGAGAAAGAGGAGGGGGAAGAGGAGGAGGGAAAAGGGGAGAGAGGGGAAAGAGGAGAGGGAGGGGAGAGAGGGGAAAGGGAGAGAGAGGAAGGGGGGAAGGAGGGGGGAAAAAAGGGGAGAGGGGAGCCCGGGAGAGAGAGACGAAAGGAGAGAGGAGGGGGAGTTGAGTGAAAGAGGAGAGAGAGAGAAAGAGGAGAGGGGAGAGAAAAAGGAGGAGAGAGAAAAAAGGAGAGGAGAGAGAAAGGGAGGAGAAAAGGGGGAAAGAGGAGAGAGGGGGGAGAGAAGAGGTGTGAGAGAGAGAAAGGGGTGGAGAGAGAGGGGAGAAGGGAGAGAGGGGAGTTTGGGGGAGAGGAGAAAAAGGGGGAGAGGAAGAGAGAAAGAGGAAAAGAGAGAGAAAGGGAGAGAGAGAAAAAGAGGGGGAAAAGAAGAGAAGGGAGAGAGAGAGAAAAAAAGAGGGGAGAAAAGGTGGGAGAGAGGAGAAAGAGGAGGTGAGAGAAAAAGGGAAGGGAAGAAAAGAGAGAAAGAGGAGAGGGAGAGAAAGGGGAGAGGAGAGAGGGGGAGGAAGGAGAGAGAAAGAGGGAGGAAAAACGAGGAGAGGAGGAGGGGGGAAAAAAGGAGAGAGAGGGGGAGGAGGAGAGAGAAAGGGGAAAGAGAGAGGAGGGAGGAGAAAAAGAGGAAGGGGAGAAAAAAGAGGAGGGGAGAGAGGAAAAAAGGAGGAGAGGAAAAAAAAGAGGAGGGGAGAGAGAGAGGGGGAGAAGGGAGAGAGGAGGAGAGAGAGAAGGGGAAAAGGAAAAGAGAGAGAGAGAGAAAAGGGGGAGGAGAGAGGGAGAGAGGGGGAAAGAGGAAAAGGAAGAGAAAGGGGAAAAGGGGAGAGGGAAAGATGGAAAAAGGGGAAGAGGAAAGAGGAGAGAGGAGAAAGAGGAGAGAGAGAGAGAAAAAAGAGGAGGGGAAAACGAAAAGAGGGGGAGAGCCCCCCCCCCCCCCCCGAGAAAAAGGGGGAGGAGAAGAGGGGAGGGGAGGAAAGAGGAGAGAGAGAGAAAAGGGGGAGGAGAGAGAGAGGAAAGGGGGAGAGAGAGAGAAAAGGGAGGGGAGGGGAGAAAGAGGGAGAGAGAGGGGGAGAGGAAAGAGGGGGCGAAAAGGGGAAAAGGGGGAGGAAAAACGAGAGAGAGAAAAGAGGGGGAAAAGAAAGAGGAAGAGAGAGAGAAAGAGGAGGAGAGAGAGAGAAAAAGGGGGAGAGAGAGGAGAAAAAGAGGGAGAGGAGAGAAAAGAGGAGGGAGAGAGGGGAGAAGAGGAGAGAGGGGAAAAAGGGGAGGAGGAAAAAGGGGAGAGAGAGAAAAAGGGAGGAGGAGAGAAAAAGAGGAGAGGAGGAGAGAGGAAAGAGGGAGAGAGAGAAAGGAGGGAAGAGGGGAAAAAGGGGGAGAGGAGGGGGAGGAGGAGGGGAAAAGGGAGAGAGGGGGAAAAGGGGGAGAGGAGAGATAAAAGGAGAGAAGAAAAAGGGGGGAATAGAAAAAAGAGGAGAGGGGGAAAAAGGGGAGAGAGGGGAGAGAGCGAGAGAGAAAGAGAGGAGAAAAGAGGAAAGAGGGGGAGAGGGGAAAGGGGGAGAGAGAGAGGGAGAGAGAGAGAGGAGGGGAAAAAGGGGAGGGGGTTGAGAGGGGGAGAGAGGAGAGGAGAGAGGAAAAGGAGGAGAGGGGGGAGAGAGAGGGAGGAGGGGAAAAAGAGGAGAGAGGGGAAAAAGGGAAAGGAGAAAAAGGGGAGGGAGGGGTTTGAGAGAGGGAGGGATGAGGGGAGGGGAGGGGGGAAGAGAGAAGAGGGAAGGAAGAGGGGAGGAAGGAGGGAGAGGAGAGAAGGAGGAGAGAGAGAGAGAGAGGAGGGAGAGAGAAAAGATTTGGGAGGGGGGAGAGAGAGAGGGGGAGAGAGAGAGGGAGGAGAGGGGGAGAGGAGAGAGGGGAAGAGGGGGGAAAGGGGAAGAGAGAGGAGTGGGAGAAGAGAGAGAGGGGGAAGAGGGGAGGGAGAAAAGAGAGGGGGAGAGGAAAAGAGGAGAAAAGGAGGGAAAAGCGGGGGAGAGAGAGGGGAGGGAGAGAAAAGGGGAGAGATGAGAGAAAAGAGAGAGAGGGAGAGAGAGGGGAAAGAGAAGGGGGAAAAGAAGAGGAGAAGAGAGAGGAAGGAAGGAGGAGGAGGGAGAAGAAAAAAGAGGGGAGAGAAGGGTTTGGGGAAAAGAGAGAGAGAGAAAAAAGGGGGAGAGAGAGGGGAGAGGAGAGGAGAGGAGAGAGGGGAGAGAGAGAGAGGGAGGAAAAGAGAGGAGAGGAGAAGAGAGAGAGGTGGGGGAGGGAGAGAGAGAGGAAGAGGAGGGGAGAGAGAGGAGAGGAGAGAGAGGGAAAAGGAGAGAAGAGGGGGAGAGGGGGAGGGGGAGAGGAGAGGGGAGAAAAGGGGAAAAGAGAGAGAGAGAAGGAGAGAGAGAGAGGGGGGAGAGAGAGAGAGGGGAGAGAAAAGAGGAGAGAGGGGTGAGAGGGGGGGAGGAGAGGAGAGGGGGGAGAGAGAAAAGGGGGAAGAGAGAGAGGAGAAAAGGAGGACGAGGAGAGAAAAGAGAGAGAGAGAGAGAGAGAGAGGAGAAAAGAGGAGAGAGAGAGGAGGAAAGGAGGGGAGGGGAGGATGGAGGGGGGAGAGAGAGGAGAGAGAGGGAGAGCGAGAGGAGGAGAGGAGAGAGGGGAGAGAGAGGAGAGGAGAGAGGGGAGGAGAGAGAGGAGAGGAAGGAGGGAGGGGGAGAGGAGAGGAGAGGAGAGGAGAGGAGAGGAGGGGAGAGGAAGAGAGAGAGAGAGGGAGGAGCCCCCCCCCCCCCCCCCCCGGGGAGAGAGGGGAGAGAGAGAAAAGAGAGGAGAACGAGAGTTTTGTACTCCCCCAAAATTGTTTTTTGAAGGGGTCGAGACTAAGTCCTGGCCCTGCCTTTTTCACTGATCGCTATGGGTCCCCTCTTCTCTCTGCTTCCTGGTTTTGGTCATCCCTCTTCTTAAA